CAGCTTACGAAGAATCTTCATGTACTGAGTAGAGACTCCTTGACTATGAAGGCTCTCCATGACTGTTTTTATCTCATTTGAAACAAAGGCCTTCTGTAAATCGATGAAAGTGAGACAGAGCGGTCTTTTGTACTCTCATGATACTTCAATGAGCCTTGTTATCGTGTGGATGTGTTCCATCGTACTAAATCCTTTTCGAAACCCTGCTTGCTCACATGGCTGTCCTTCGTCTAGTGTTCTGTCAATTCTGTTCAGGATGACTCGAGTGAAAAGTTTGTAGGCGACAAACCGCAAGCAGATTTGGTGGTAGTTGCCGATATCGTGGAGGTCTCCCTTCTTGAACATTAGCACGATCTTTGTGGTCTTCCGTTGAATAGAGGCCTTGCATTCAGACAGGTGGCGTGTGATGAGCATGGCCAGTGTGTTTACGAGGACTGGCGGAAGGTTCTTTAGGTGTTCTGGTGTTGTCCTGTCCGGACCTGGAGTTTTCCAATTTTTCACCGACGAAATGGCATGTCGGATTTAGGAAGGGAGAACCGGTGATACAACATATTTATCCTCCTTTATTTCATATGGCGGAAGGTGGAAGTGGTTATCGAAGAGATCAGAGTAGCATTCGTGAATGATTTTCTCCATTGCCTTTCTGGAAGCTATAACTGTTCCGTCTGGGAGCCGGAGTGTAATCATCTTGGTCCTGTAATTGGCGAAGCTTCAGTGGGATTTGCGAATGCTTTTCGCAGCCTCTGCAGCTTCGACTGCTACTGCTGCTCTTCTCTCTTTAAGATCTTTTTTCATCGCTTGTCCTCATTGTTTGGCAAATTCAGATGTAAGTTGCACGTACCTCGTGTGGTTTCAAGTTGGCGAATCAGCTCGAATGTTTGTTGAGTCAGACCTCTCTTGCTGGCTTTCGAACTCTCTGCTTTCATAGCGCTAACATGAAGATGTCGAATGAGCCGATCGTATTCCTCGTCGATGTTATCGACAACGGTATCTTCGTAATAACGAATGAGTTGAATAGGTCCCAGTTAACAGTAGTTTTGGGACTTCGTCTTTTAAATTTGGTAGCATTTTTTCCTTCTCGCGAGAAGTAGAATCTTGTACGAAGGAGACGGTGGTCTGATCACGTGTAGAATTTTGGGACAACAGCGACATCGGTTAGGCAAAACCTTCTATTCACTATGATGTGGTCTATTTCGTTATGGTACTCTCCATTGGGAGACTCCCACGTCCAGCGTTGAGGGTGGGGCTTCTGGAATTGTGAGTTACCATGGATTGTCTTGGTCGCCATGATAAACTCAAATAGCCGCTCACCCTGTTCGCTTCATTCTAAACCGTGGGTACCAATGTGACGTTTCTCAGACGTTCTTCTTGGTCCAATCTTGGCTTTGAAATCTCCAATGATGACTTTGAAGAATGTATGGTCTTCTCTGTAAAACTTCTCCAAGTCCATATAGAGCGCTTCGTCTTCTTCTTCGTCATAGTTTGGTGTTGGCGTATAAACGACGAACCTTACAAAAACCGGTATTGATCCACGTCTTTTTAATCGTAAACGTCCAATTCGGGTTGTGAGGTGTTCGAATTTGGAATGCACAAGTAATGATTGCAAAAAGGAGGCACATTTGGTTTAACAACAAATATAAAAACTGTGCAGCTGAAGATATTTAGCAACATGAATGTTGTATTTAATAAGAAGGTGATCAGACCAATGAGTGGAATTTGAATATGGATGTTGAATAGATGCTCATTAGTAGAAGCGTGTTTGCGAGGTTTATACCTATTTGAGCCGCGTTAATTTCACGTAAATGGGAATCACTTCAGGCTCTCGAACGGAGTTGAGGATTAGGTCTTATTAATTGAACAGTGGATATTAACACTGATATGCTTGTTTTCGTTGAGTTGATTCGCTAAAAAATCGCACTGATTAGATATTTTGGTCGGCATTCCCATAGTGGGTTACAGTAACCAATACGGTAACTAGTGGCGAATAGTTACGACGTCTTTGTTCGACGTTAACAACTTGGAATTTGTATGCAAGATGCCTGTCATGTTCGATAATTGTTTTGAATGAGTTTGCAAACTTCTGGACCGAAGTGTCTGCGGTGGGCATCGAACAAGTTACTACCTTTTTTTTAGGGCTAACGCGCTCACCACCACACCATGGGAGTCCTTCGTTTCTCCTGTCTCTCAGCTAGTTCTGTCTAACAGCGGCAACAGCAATCCAATCACCCGTCAACGGGATTGATCTCGGTAGCAATCACAATGCACAATCGGCATTGACCTCAGTTAAGCCGAGACTGTAGTTGAAATCATATTGGTAACTTTTGGAATTGGATTGGACTACAATTGGAAAGTTTGATTTTTTGTTGAAGAAAAGTTGTAGGAATAAAAAGCATGATAAAACCTGCCTTTTTTTTCTTAATGGCAGGGTATGTTGCGAAATATAACTCGTATGAAATGCTGAGATATTTGCAAAACTCCGGACCGCAGGTGTATGCAGTGAAGAACGAACACGCGCTGTTGTCCTTACCGGGGAGCAGCGCACTTCACCACCACACCATCCGGGTCCTTCGTCTTGCCTATCTCTCAGCTAGTTCTATCGAAGGACCCGGATGGCGTGGTGGTGAAGTGCGCTGCTCCCCGGTAAGGACAACAGCGCGTGTTCATTCCCCACTGCATACACCTGCGGTCCGGGGTTTTGCAAATATCTCATCATTTCATACGCATAATATCGTAGTTGAGTGAACATTTGAGAAAAGTTGATTTATTCTGCTTTTGAAGTCGGATTATTCATTTGCTACGCTAAAAATCTAAAAAGAGGGAAGCCGAAAATGAGGAGAAAAACAGGGATTCGTCGGACAGGAACGAATCTGTGCTTTCACAAATGCCTGCATTTCTTTTAAATCAATATTCTAATTTTTCCCCTCTCTTTGGTTTCTTCATCTTTCTTTTTTTCTTTGACATTTTGGGAATGCTTTTCTTATGTGATGGTTTTTAAACATATTTTGTGGCCAATTGCATATTCAACATTATAACATCTTTTAAACTAACTTTTAACATCTGTCATAATAGCATTCTGTCTCATCCATTTTTTCCGAAAAACGTTTTGTTTTTCTTTCCGTAGTTCTCATATCCAACTTCCCATTTCTTCTCTTAAATTCCTTTAAATTCATTACTGATTCTTAGTAACTGCTATTACTAATAAAGTTTCTGATTGAACGAGACCGTACCACGGAATTCTATTCGCTAGATTCCCTAGAAGGATTCCACAAGTTGCTCTACTGCCGCGCGGTTGTTTAGTGCAATCTTTCGTCAATACTAAGCAATTTCAGAAAATTATCCCAAGAAAGTACTGTAACAATGATTTGCAAGGCAATCTGCAACACTCTTGTGATTGTTTTTCTAGTCTCTCTATGCTCAGTGTTATTCGTCCTGCAATCATTGTATTTCATCTTCAGGATAACAGAAGACACTGAAAAGGAACAAATCAAAACGTAAGTTTTTTCTTGGATTATTCTTACGTTATTTAAAGGTTTTTAGCCAGCGTGTTCTGTCTCGCTGTTAATCAGTAGCAACACCCGACGATCCCTCGTCGAGCTCACTAGCTGTCACTCCTTCAGAATGAGGAAATCGGTACCAGACTTATCTTGGAGGATAGCATCATTGACTTTGATGCATCGGCAGGCCACTGCGCGAGTCATTGTACAGATATGCATTCAACCACCATAGTGACCATTAAGTTGAATGAATGGCGCAACTGTCAGGATTAGAGAGCGCCGAACGTTTCGTCCTTCATCCTTTATTTATCCAATGGAACAATATTATGCGAGGATTTAGTGTATTAGTATGCAAAATCCATTTACGTTCAGCAGCAACACTGAGTGGGTCCAAGTAGTCATGAGGCTTCACGGCTCCTACTCAGGTTGTGGCTGTGAAATAAGGTCACCTTTGCATATATAGGTGGATTCAGAGAACTCCTTATATGCCCATGTTGTGCCATATTGACTTACACTCTCTGATACATTCAAATACGGAGAGTGGTTGTGTTTGGGAGATGCAGATTGTATGCTTCATGTCACCTGGGCCAAAATTTTGAAATCAGTTATATGAAGGTTGTTCAAAGTAGTTGGGGGTTAAGAGCCAAGTCAGCAATTAACAACTACTCTCTTGTAAAAACTATTAACACAGAGGCACTCTTATTAATGTTGCCGTCGTCTTAGTGCTTATCGAGTGAGTGGACCAGAATGAGTTACTCTACTGAGTGGTAAAGTGGAATAGAGATTTTACTTACCCTTTTTCTGGTGTTAGCGCAGATATAGAAGTAATATTTAGTTTCACTGATGCTGAGATATTTGCAAAACTTCGGACCGCAGGTTTAAGCGGTGGGAACGAACGCGCTATTGTCCTTTCCGGAGAGTAACGCGTTCATCGTTCGCGTTTAAAAAAAGAGTAGGCAGAAGATAATAAGTTAAAATTGTGTTTATAACTACAGCCTCAGCTCAACTGGGTTCGTTGCCGATTTGGGCCCTCCAGACCAATCTCACTGACGGGTAATTGCTGTGGCAAAGATCGATAGAACTAACTGAGAGACAGGCGAAACGAAGGACCCGCATGGTGTTTTGGTGAACGCGTTTTTCCCCGGAAAGGACAATAGCGCGTTCGTTCCCCACCGCAGACACCTGCGGTTCGGAGTTTTGCAAATATCTCAGCATCATTGAAGTTATATTTCGCAATATACCTTGTCATGTAAAAAAAGAGTAGGCAGAAAATAATAAGTTAAAATTGTAATATTTAGTTTAGATTTTTAGAATATCTAGATTTAGTGACAACAGAATAAAGAAGCTATTTTTAAGTCTGAGATCAACGGAGGTGTGAAATGATCACACACGAGGCAGGAAAACGCGACAACAGGATGAGCAAATGGCAAATCAAAGCTGGTGTTAGGTCTAATCTTGGGTGCACTCTATGCTTTCACGTATAGAGCAATTATTTCAAAAACCAGAATGATTTTTATCGAACATTTTATAACCTGTAAGTGTCATTTTTCAGCATTGATGGCTCACCACTTTCTCTACCAGCCATTATCATCTGTAATCGTATGCCATTCTCTCAGGATGGTACGGACTCGGTGAACAGGGATCTTCGTCAAGATCCAGTAATACGGTATGTAAAAACTTTGATGGGGATTCGTCGACCGGTCGTTAACTAATTCTATTGTAGAAGTTTAGTAATTGCAAAACAAAACTTAAAAATATAGCCTACACATAAGGCATAATTCATATTCATAAAAACTGGGAAACGTCAGAAAGCGTTTAAAGCAATGGGAGAAATAATAAAAGATTGCTTTTCGAAAAAAAGGACTTTGTCTTTAAATTTACATGGTTACTTGGATGGTCCGTCTTCACTGGTTGTGCGGTCTCCAACATAATTCCTTTGTTTTTTGGAGTCTTGCTGGTTAAACTATTGTGGATTTCTGGCGTCAAGAGGTCAGTCTAGCCAATGTCTTCCCTAGGTCGTCAGTACCACAGGGCTCCGCGGCCCTTATGGATCAGAGGGAGATTTACCACTATGCGACTTTGATACCAGGACGGTGGTGGATCGTGGTAATGGTTTACCCTTTGCTGAGCTTTCTGATGGAAACGCCGGACTCCTCAGCTTCGGAGACCGTGCAGGTAAAGCGAATACTCACGCTGTACATCGCAGCCGTAGACACAGGAACACCTCTTGGCCGCGATGGGGCCGTAAACCGTTGAGAGGTGTCTTTAAAAAGTTACGATTAGGAAATGAGAGCACTAATGTCTACCAGTAGCATTGCTTAGAGACTCAACTAGAAAAAAGCAACTAACTATCAAATTTTTATTACTGTATATGTAAGCCAAATGCGAGGAGAAGAGCGAAGGACTGAGGAAGAGAAAAAAGATGAAGAACCTTCTAGCAGAAAAGTAATAAAAAAAGTGCTCTCCGCTCAGTAGAGTTGAAGACGGCGAAGTCTCAGCATGTAGATCCACATTCCGAATCAACTATAGTTGAGCGTTGTACTTACAGCTTCTCTTAGAGTTGAGAGAGAATAAATTTGTGGAAGAGATGGGTGGTAACACAGTTGTTAGTGATGCAGTCGATCTGTTGGCAATATGCTGATTCGACTCCCTGTCGACGCTCTCCCATCCACGTGGGAATGTCTCTTAGCTAGTTTTTCTCTACGATTCCAAGGAGAATCGTATCAACTAACATTCTGCAACATTCGTGAAGAAAAGAAAATCCTCAGGTAGCAGTGGAAACAACACGCAAAGTGCTCGAAAACCTTTGTGGACAATAAACACCAGGAAAACGAATCGAATGCAAGAAGTCATGGCGCCCGCACAGTATATGAGATGAAGGGTTATGCAAAATAAAACAGATGATAATAAGTTTGCTGAGGAATTCAACAATTATAACGTAAACGTTACTTGAGGCTTCAATGAGTCTGGAATGCCGTGGAAACTGCACCTTTAGCACTTTTGAACATCTACATATACAGTTAAGTGGCATAATCGTGGAGATGATTGTTTTTGACACGCCTAGGTGGTTGAGAACTTTACAGAGTTCTATAAGAAACTTTTCCGCATTTTAAATCAGTTTTAAACTGGGAATCTAAGATTCTTTAACAGAAATCCTCTGACCGGAAACATTAAGCATGCACTGCGAACATCACAACGTTTGGTGGATTAAATACGATGTGTTGAAGCACTTCACTATTGGAAATATGAGTCTTGGTTGAAGCACGCAAAAAAAGAAGTATGCTTTTAAGAAGACGTAATTTCATCTTGATAAAATAAAAAGCGTTATACGTTGTTCACAAGGATCGTCGGACTTCAGTGATTTTCTTTTATAGGTAAAGTCTACTCTGTAAGGTTAAATATTTCTGTTGGTTTTAAGTTGAAAGGTTTAGTCATTTCGGCAACATCCAAGTCATGTGTGACTCATGTCGTTTTCACTATATGACTGTTTTGCAGATATCTTCTTGAGTGGGCACGCCCATCATTAAGAGATGAACCGGACTATGTTAGACTATCGCATACCTACTTGAATGCAGGTGAGACGACAATGAATGATTCTTCTAGAATTTTTTAGGTTACTGATAACATGTTCATTGAATACTGATAGCAGTTATAGATCAATGACACGGCCGAGACAAAGGTGAAAAGAAGGACCCGCGTGGTGTGGTGATGAACGCGTCATCCTCCGAAAGGGTGATAGCGCGTTCGTTCCCCACAGCAGACACCTGCCGCCCAGAATTTTGCAATTATTTCAGCATCATTATAAAATCAGTGAAGTGAAATCAGTTTATGATGACAGAACCGCCCCGTCCCCATATAAGGATGAAAACCCAGTCACCTCGGGGCCTAAGTGTTATATATTCTCGTTATTTGATAGCCGTTTTCAGGGCAAACGATCTTGTTGCAATATTTGCCGCAGAACAATCGTAATCAGAGCATTAATCAGATGGAATACATGTGTCAGAGTGTGATCAATAGCTGCAGTTACAAGGTATGTAATATTCGGAATAATTTCCATTTTTTTAAGTTTTCGAGTCGAGTTGAATTACATGAGTGTCGTTGCTTTCATTAACTTTAGTGATCCAGTCAAAAGTTCGGCGGCAACGTTTCTAGAAAATTGCAGTTTCTATCACATTTTATCTGATTCAGTTTCGTAAACTCAGAGGTGAAAAAAGGTACCGATATCTCACGAAATTCTATTACTCTACCACTTGCCGTATGGGATCCTTTGCCTTAAATTTTTTTGAGGAGAGTAGCTCTTCCGATTTTGCCATGGCATAGAAAATGATTGGAGTGTTAGTTGGCAGCTAAATGACATTGACGAATGAGCAACAGCTAACAGTGATCCTCTTCTGGGGCTGGTGACAAGAGAACAATGCGAACAAAGCATTCATAGACTCAAAACCCTCGCATATTTTTCACGGTGGAATATTTGATCATCAACGGCGTTGCTGAAGACGTTTAAATTCTAAAGGGTCTCGATTTTATCTTTTAAGAGCCTTTTTAGGTTTCGAATTTTTTGAAATTTATTTTTAGAATAAAAAAAATATATTTTTTTTGTGATTATAAAGTTTTTAAAAATTATACGTTGGAGGAGGTGGTTTTGCTTTTCAAGCCAAAATTGTTCTCTTGATGAAATCACATTCTTTTTTAAACACATGACAATGATTTTTATTGTTTTCAATTTTTAAACTAGAATTCAACCAAAAATGAAGGATCAGGTGCGAAAAAATTTAAAATGCTTAATTGTTGACTTTAATTGCCCGTTTTCACGATCTTCTAAGAAGTTATGTGTGTTCCAGTACAATTGCCATTTAACTTGGATATTTCTGACTTAAACAGCGCGTTGAGAGCAGAGGCTGGAGACTCTTCATAATACAAATGTGGTCTTTAGTTCGATCCTGGCCTTGTGTTAACCAAGTCCCATTACTCTGAGTTTGGAAAATTGGTACTCTACTTGTTTGGCAGACCCAAATCAATGAGTTGATACATCGGTAGGCCACCGAAAGTCATATTGTCCATATATGAATTCAGCCTCCTTCACGATGCTGCTAATGGAATCGAATGCATGGTGCATCCCTTAAGGACTGATCTACGTCGAACTGATCTTTATCCTTTATCCTTTTTGCTGCAGTTTCGTTCAGGTTTTTCTATGTGACTGTGAGAAACTCTTCCCATTGAGCTCCCGTATTTTCACCGCATGCATTCGCTAGCTTTCCTCGACCGTGTGGAAATTTTCTGCTTTACAATTTCATTTTTGTGAGAACAACTGTGCTATGATTTCCAGAACTGGTTCAATTCTATGAAGTGCTGAGATATTTGCTGATGCTGAGAGCATTACCATTTTTGCCGTTGACGGATGATTGCTGATGGCAAAAAAAAAGATCGATAGAACTAGCTGAGATACATGCAAAGCGAAGGACCCGGATGGTGTAGTGGTGAAGTGCGCTGCTCCCCGGTAAGGACAACAGAGCGTGTTCGTTCTCCATTGCATACACCTGTGGTCCGGAGTTTTGCAAATATCTCAGCACTTCATACGAGTTATATTTCACAACATACACTGCCATTAAGAAGAAAAGGGCAGTAAATAAAAGAGTTAAGATAGTTCAATTCTAGTTGGAATTTTTGTGTGGAAATGCTTAAGGGAATCTCTACTTTGGTAACCATGTTGTAAAATAAACGTTCTGTTGAACATGGGCATTTGAGATCTAGAAACAGTAGTTGACCACGATATTGTAGTTTACCGTAGTATTGGGCTTCCTAAAGCAGTGTTTTACGGTGTTCACCAATTTTATCTTATTTCGAAACCGACCTTCCCTAAACCTCGGTGTGACTAATCAATATGTATTCTTTCTTGATAAGCTTGCACGAGGTTGATAAATATATTTATTTTCGGCTAACGTTTCGACGTCTTCGTCTTCCTCAGAGCCGGTGATCCGAGTCGATGGTCCATGCTTGTTGTTCGCCTCGACGTTGCGTCTTCGCCTTCTTGTCGAGCCAGATCTTTCTCAGTGAGACATCTTCTCGAAGAAAGAATACATATTGATTAGTCACACCGAGGTTTAGGGAAGGTCGGTTTCGAAATATTACTACGCTTTGTGCTAGCTGATAATACACCGACCTCTGCACGATGTGCGCAATGATGTATGTCCGGAAGAAATACAAGTTGTTACCACCGGACATTGTCATTATATATCCACCATCAGCATCGTGTATAAAAGGGCATCACTGAGTGAGGATGCCTCATTCGAGAAGATGGCTCGCTGAGGAAGATCTGGCTCGACAGGAAGGCGAAGACGCAACGTCGAGGCGAACAACAAGCATGGACCATCGACTCGGATCACCGGCTCTGAGGAAGACGAAGACGTCGAAACGTTAGCCGAAAATAAATATATTTATCAACCTCGTGCAAGCTTATCAAGAAAGAATACAAATTTTATCTTATTTGAAAAGCCTATGCTCTCTTATTTCTCCATCAATGGCCTGCGGAAGTTTTCAGTTCAACCATTCTCACGGAGGTTACAGATTTTTTGAAAGCTTTGTGTCGAACTTTTTGCTCAATCTGAAGTTCTTTGGTTCATTCCTCTTTGAGTCTTCTCAAAGAGTGATGTTACTGAAAGACAAATACTTGCAATCTGTCTAGCAAAGTATTTTTGATACGATCCTCTCATTTAATTTTAAATTCCTGCATTCTGTGAAGATTTTGTTTCTAACACTGTTTCCGATAGCTTTGTTTCCAGGAGAGAAACATTCAAGCTTACGAATGTTGCAAAAATGTTATCTACAAAGTCGCTACCACTAACGGCTTGTGCTGGGTGTTCTATGATCGTTATATGAGCCAGGATTCATCTCAACCAATGCAGCAGTTCTCATTGACGTTCCAGGTTGCGTGTGATTTCGCTTAATTCGAGAATGTTCTGGCTGATTGTAAAGTTGACAATAGCAGTTGGATTATTTTTAAATTAGGCTTCCTCTAGAGTGACTGGGAACCAGTAGGTCAAGTTAACGCATAGCATGATTGTGGGATAAACTATCAGTAGCCTTTATAGTTACAGTTGAAAGCTAATATTGATCTGTATTGCAGATGTCTCGTAATTCGTGGTATTCGCAGCAGACTACTCCAATTCATCCTGGAATTGATATTTATTTAAAGGAGAACGTGAACGATATCATGACCATTGTGAATCAACTAGAGAATCCGATACGACTACTTGACAAGAAGGGTATTCATATAAAGATACACAAAGAGGTATAGATATCGTCTTGAAAAAAGGCTTTATAATCAAATTGTATAATCTCACCGAGCCAACCCACACCTGACCGTCACCTTATTATTCACAGTGGTGGCTGGTACAGAGTATTTTCGCAAGCATCCAGTCAATGAAGGTGTAATGGCAGGCATACACCACATTCGCCTTTACTCACGTCCACAGAAGGATTGATGCCCTGTAATATACAATAGATCGGTACCTGCTTCGATTCCGCGCGCTGGACTCAGCAAGAACTCGATTTTTTCGGGATTGGTAAATTGATACCAAATTTGTCTGGAGGAATAAAATCGTCGATATACTACATCGGTAGGCCACCGCAATTCGTTTTGTAGGCCACGTATTCATTTAATCACCTCCATGATGCTTGAAGTCCGATGCATGCACGACCCCTCGAGCACTGATCAACATCGAGCACTTTATCTCTTGGTCAACGTCGAAGGCTTTACCCTTAAGTCTTTCAAAGTATAGCTGAATTATATTGAACGAGAATGTTTATCCGCCGCAGCATAGACAACAACCAACTTCAAAGGAGAGGATGGTTGCCATGTTCTTAATGAGTTGACTCGCCCTTGTTAATACAATGCTTGTTTCAAAATGGCTACTGTTTCGCCAAGATTCGTATTCTCCAATGCATGAAACTAGAAAACACTTAATACGTTGCCTTACTGATGAGATTATGGAATACTCATTACCCATATCTAAAACTTTGTTAAGAAACACCCACTGGTTTTCATAACAAAGCTCAAAGGTAATGGCTAACATGAGCGTTGCGACAATTATCATGAACACATCAAGTTCTTGATCACTGCAGAGGTTAGTTGGAAGTCAGTCCTCCCGCTTTTCTTCTTTTAATGGAGTCATGAGAATACGAAGCACTCATTGCGTCATAGTGATTAAGTAGTCTCCCATCATTTCTGATAAAAAAGAACTTACGCTACCAACCTCTATTTTGTTTGGTAGCCCCTATAGAGAGCTAAATTATAGTTGCTGTTTGGAATAGAAGTTCACCGACCTCTATTAAAACTAGGGTTGCCCTACCGAATGGCCACCTGAACGCAAATGATGACAGTTTTATTTCTAAAGTAAACCTTACTGCGATGACGCAGTCACCTATAAAAGGAATTCGCGCTATTTCAGTGGCGAGAATAATTCTCAGAATTACTTCATTTCAGAAGAGAGTCGATTTACGTCGTAAACTTTGCGGCAGTTCTTTGAGCGACGCCGAATTAGCAGATAAGAATGCTCTTGCTAGAAATGAAACGAACATACTGATGTGTGTGATTATGGTAAGAGAAGATTGCTTCATTTTCACAATACAAAAGGATTTTTCCAATTTTAAATCTTAAGCGATATAGATGTGAAGTAAGACGAATGAATTTTGTGGAAATGAACTAAAACAAGAGCAAAACTTCTTATCAGATTTCGATGCAATACTGTGGTTGCCACCCTTTGTTAGCCGAGATGATTCCGTATGAAACTGATAGATTCAGGTTAGAAGTGTTTTTTATCTTTATGAGCAAGGTTTATTCGTTATATGAATTGCAATACCATCGGATAATCTTTTCCTATTGATTTCCACGAGTCTTGCAAGGGTATTATTTTTTTGTTCTTAATTTTTATCATAGCAGTTCATCATTTAATATTTGCCGACTGGTTAGTCCAAAGAAAAAGTCCTTATGACCACACACGAGTCAGTGAAATATCTTTAAGAGATTTTTCTCTACGAGTGAATTCCACTCAAGTATGTACACTCGACCAGTATGAGACATGTGCTAGACCGTATGTGCACATGGCACGTCCGTCGTCATGGCTGGAGCCAGTGCCGAAAGATATGCTCGGTGCTGCAGATATTTCGTATTGTCGAAGGTAATCTGAAACGTCTTATTGCTTTCTCTAATAGCGATTAATACATGACAACAATAGAATGCTTTGTAAATCATATGTATTAATTCACAAATAAGCGGCTTCAAGTCGTCCTTAGCTGTCCAGTTTGAGTCAGCGAATATGTAGGCCTCAGTTGTCTTGTTCTGTAATTGTCGTCGGATTTTATGGAATTCCCCGGAAGGCAGGAAGCATGCAGCACAGTCGTTTGCAGTCGTGCAGCACAGTGTCATGTAATACCATTGGTTTAATAGGGAGCTTAAGTTTAACAAGGTCTCTGATCCTTTTGGGGTCGGGGAATTGGCATCAGGGTTTTCTGGGAATCCTTCCACATGATGGAAGGCTTTGGGAGCCTACAAGTCATTGTATAGGACAAGTATGCATCTAGCTACTCTACGATGCCTAGTGCTATGTGTGTTCCTATGGTTTGATTAAAGCTAGAAGGTTTATCTTTCATGCTTTTGTCTTACCTAAAGGACGAATTGAGAAAAATAGTGGTAACTGGAACAGGAAGTCAAACGCTAGCAAACGTTATTATCTATTGCAAAATACTTAGTTTACGCCGATGCAGTGCCTACAGGCACTTATTTCAGTTTACAGTAGAATAAATATAAATTGATCATAACCGTTTTAACCAATTAAACACTTTTTTGTCCTTGCGATTTAAATTCCCTTTCATTCCTTTTCAGGAAAAATCCGTACCCTTGTCAAACGGTGTCCTATCCCGGTATTATCGACCACTACGATTTACCGTCAGTTTATCAGAATACACAGGCACGATTTTTAACCTATTTGTTCTAAAACGATTTTTTGTGAAGTAAAAACTTTAAAGGATCATCTTTGAAATTGTTCTCCTTTTTTTCACACATCCGGAATCGATTGAGGTGTGACATCAAAGCTGATCAGAATACTCATCTATTGATGCTCTTTAATATGCAAATTTCCGTCCTCCTTCCCCATTTGTTGCTAATTCTTAGTCGCAGCCTATTAATTTCCATCCAACTGTCGTGTAGTGCCTTTAAAATGTCGCGCTATACAGAATCATTTAAGAACAAAAATTCGGTGTTGCAACTCAATTCCAAGCTATTTGCTAAAATATCCTGGAATTTGCAACCATTCTGAAAAAACACTAGGTTGATAAGGTTGAAAATCTCCCTTCGATCTATTTCGAAGCCCATAACTGGTCATGTTAGGATAGCAAAGTGGACAGCGTAGTGAAGCCACACAGTTTTCCAGGAATAAGTTCGAATGTTGCTGGCAGTATGCTGTACTGATGCTATTTGCAACTGATATTTGAGCATTGCCATAAATACATATAGACCTGCATCATTGTAGTCCGTAGTAGAAATTCTATGGGAAGTGGATACTCTACTGTTAAGCTGTTAACCACTGCACCACCATCTTGTTTTCTAATAAGCTTTGACGAAATGAAATGAAGTGTGCACCGGCAGTGGAGAATCTTCTGTCGAGATTGTGCATCTCATCATATTGAATTAGAGTCACCAGAACTGCTTGTTATTCTCCAGGTCTTTGTTTAAAATTTCATCTTGTGAGATTGCCGAGATTGTGCACCTCAAAGAGCTGAGTCAGAATCGCTAGGACCAGTCCTTATTCTACGGTATTAGCTGTTATCTTGTTCATTTTGTAGGATTTCGTTGCACGCCTTGTTCTGCAATACACGACAACGCAAGTGACTGAGGTGCTGAAGACGAATGGGTCCAATGTCTACGAATTACTCAGCTATATTGGTTACAATATCGCCACGTGGTTCACCATTGGTCATATTATTTGGTAAAAGCTGTTGCCAATCGATGGTATATGTTACTTAGCTGGTCCTCATTAACTGATCATTCTTTTACAGGTGGTTATACACTCTAGTTCGTGACACGCTTTGCAGTTCACACAAGGTTGGCGAAAAGAGATTATTGTCGTTTATGATAATACCATTGTAAATATATCTTTATATATGATCTATATAATCAACAATATGCTAAACTCAAGCATGAAAGCGTAAGTCTCATCATGAAAAACGAACACTTTCATTTTTTCGACTTTATGTGTAAAACATTACTATCGATGCGATGGAGTAAAGTCGAAGTATTGATCGGTGTCACTTTTGATTTTTATCAATAAGCTTATTTTCTAGGGTCATTTTATTAAAAAGAAACTACGAATGCTATCAACACAGCCAGTAATTTGGTTTCAAAAAACCCCGCATTTTAACTCGATCACTTTACAGATTGCTGCGGAACTGGGACGATCGGTGTTATCGTTTTCGAATCCAATCCAGGTAAAACCGGCCGTTGGACCCAAAGAGAGTACAAGCCCTGGAGCATAGCATTTACTAACTAGCTAAAAGCAAAATTTTTTGAAACAGATACGCTTTGACCAGCAAAGAAATCCGTAACATGAATTCTCCCAGACATACCGCAGCGCGGTACGGTTACGCTCAGAATTCATTCTGTCTTATAATGCCGGTGGAGCAGCTACTTTCAAAAATGTTACTTATGCTCATATGATTTCATTATACAGGCTCCATTGACTTGTATTAGTGGGTGTTATTTATGAATATTATGATAATATAACGTCCATTCTGTTTATACACACGGTTCAAATCGATAACTATGTTGCACACGCCATGAACGTCCATCCATTTTGGTTATCTGAATAAAACTGAACAGAGCCGATTAATTAACACGTTGCTGTATCGTATATTTCCGAACAAGTACTGCACCCTGAAGTATTTGCTTAGTAGAGAATTATTTATAGGAAGGGACTGTATTAGCTAACTGCATGCCACTCTAGTTGTTCATCACCATACTCTTTCTGGAATCCTAAATACTCTGCCAATCCCATGTAGTGGAATCCAACTTTATTTGAGTTTATCATAATTTCGCGTTTCTGGTGGTCATTTCGATATTTCCATAGCGTGGGAGCAATATCCATGAATATGGGCTTCTTTTTGTGCCAAACATGTAATTTTTCACTTGGTTGACTTCAGTAAATGTATGTCATAGCCTCGTTTGTATATAGAGATAAAAAGGTTAATCTCTTCATTTTTTAGTATGGTACATCCGGTTATGGTACGATATAACGATCAGTGTAACAGCATAATTTAGCCAACCTCAAAGGGACGACAAGTCTTCGACGGTTAATAAACTAATTAAGAGGATCGAAACCTTACAAAGTACTTACTTGATACTTGACATTTGAACGGCTGTCCTTACTGATTCTTCGGGTTTCAGCATAATCTTTATCTTTCGGAGATTTGCTGGTTAAGCCATTATGGTTCCCTGGACTCCCGAGTACAGCCTTGCCAAGTCTGCCCCAGGTCTTCACCACCACAAGCAGTCGCAACCCTTGTGGATCAGAGGAGATTTACCACCATGCGACTTTGATGCCAGGACAGTGGTAGACCATGGTAGTGGTCTACTCTTAGCTGTGTTTTCTGATGGAAACGCCAGACTCCTCAGTTGAGAGATCCTACCAGGTGGATGAATCCCTCGCTGTACGTCGCAGTCCGGCACCCAGAAACACCTCCAAGCCACGATGAGGCGATAAACCGTTAGGAGGCTACAGAGTACCATGTTAATCAATATCAACAGAGTTCGTCAAGCAAAAGTAGCAAAACGCTATTTCAAGCCACCCATTGACACACAGCCAGTATACATAGCTGGGTGGTGCAAACCCAGCATCTGGTACCAAGACGACTCACATTTGCACCTATCTAGTGACTTAAGTTTAGCACTGGAATCAGCCTTCATCCATTAAAGGTAGAGAAACCGGTCATTCTCAGTAAGCTGTGGTGAGCGCATAGATTATTCTCTTTCCGTCTTTCTTGATGTTTCTCCTGAAGTTTTGTTACATGTACAAACTTTTTGGGAAGGAGCAAATTTTCGATGAAATCGAATGAAAGAGAAAATACGTTAAAAGTAAATGAATCCCCTTATCGAAATTTACATTGTTAAATAAAATGCCCTTCTATGCTAACTGAAAAAGAAAAGCCTCACTGAACAGATTCACTACGTAGAAATTACATCACCTGTCACCTGTATCACCTGTAGTCCCCTTGATCGTCGAGTGACTCGAGCGGGGTCATTAAATCTTCCATTTTTCGCGTGTAAGAGTATTCCAGTGGGTTCTGCTGGCTCTAGGGACTCGTTGAGCATCATATCTTTCTTCAAGGCTCTTTGCAAAAAACTCTGACCATCGGGTCGGTGGTCTACCTGCAGTGGGTTTAACATCCTGAGGAATCCAGTTACTGACGGCTCTTGTACAACGGTTATTAACACGCTTTACGTGTGCGACCCACTTTATCTTCGACTGTACGGCGCACAGAACGGCATCTTTGATTTTTGATCGTTGACGCAGATCGGAGCTTTGGATCCCATCCCTTACTTGTGTGAAACGGGATACTCCTAGCATCGTCTTTCGACTGCGCGTTCGATAACCCTGAGTGACCTTTCATCCCATTTACGCAGCGACCAGGTTTCTGACGCATACGACGCATGACGCGAGTGAAAAGTTTGTAGACGACAGACAGTAAGCAGATTGGGCGATAGTTGCCGATATCGTGTATGTCACCCTTGTTGAACAATAACACGGTCATGCTGGTCTTCCACTGAGTCCACCTTGCACTCATGCTGGTAACGTATGAAGAGCCGAGCCATGTGTTTACGAGGACTGGCGGAAAGTTCTTCAGGTGTTCTGGTGTTATTCTGTCAGAACTTGGAGTTTTCCAATTTTTCACTGACGAAACGGCATATCGGATTTCGGAAGGGAGAACCGGTAGCACAACATATCCATCCTACTTTATTTCACATAACGGGAGGTGGACGTAGCTATCGAAGCCATCTGAGTAGTATTTGAGAATGATTTTCTCCATTGCCTTTCTGGACGCTGTGACTGCTCCGTCTGGGCGCTGGAGTGCAATCATTTTGGTCTTGTAATTGGCCAAGTTTCAATGGGCCTTGCGAATGCTTTTCCTAGCTTCTTCAGCTTTAACCATTAGTGCTGCTCTTCTCTCTTTAAGATCTTCTTTTATCGCCTGTCTGCATTATTTTGCAAGTTCAGACGTTAATTCGAGTTGCCTTGAGCTCGTGCGATTCCACGCTGGCGTTTTAGCTCGACCATTTTTTGAGACAGACGTCTCCTGGCGACTTTTGAACTCTTAGCTTTCATAGCGCTAATGTGAAGATGTTGAATGAGCCGATCGCATTCCTCATCTATGTTATCGACAACGGCATCTTCCCAACAGCCGACTAATGAATTGAATAAGTCCCAGTTTGCGGTGGTTCTTGGACCTCGGTTTTGAAATTTAGCGGCTTTTTCTCTTTTCCGTAAGAAATAGAACCTTGCACGAGGGAGACGATGGTCTGATCCCGTGTAGAATTTTGGGACAAAAGCGACATCGGTTAGGCAAAACCTATTCAGTATGATGTGGTCTATTTCGTTATGGTACTCTCCATTGGGAGACTCCCGCGTCCAGCGCTGAGGATGGAGCTTCTGGAATTGCGAGTTACCATGGTTTACCGTGGTCGCCATGATAAACTCAGACAACCGCCCATCCTGTTTATTCCATTCTCATCCGTGGGTCCCAATGTGACGTTCTTCTTGGTCCCGTCTTAACGTTGAAATCTCCAATGATTACCTTGAAGAATGTATGGTCTTCTCTGTTAAACTTCTCCAAGTTCATGTAGAACACTTCGACTCCTCCTTAGTCATAATTTGATGTCGGCGCGTAAACGACGAAGATTATCAAAGCCGGAATTGATCCACACCTTGCTAATCGTAAACGTCCGATTCGGATTGCAAGTTGTTCGAATGAATCAATGTTCGTGGACAAACTCATGTTGACGAGAACGCTGACGCCGCCGACTCCTCTACTGTCGCATGTTCCGAGAAACAGTTCTACTCCGGTGTCATAGACGGTGCTGAAAGGCTGGCGTCTTCTCGACACGGCCAGTCCGATGATGCCCTACTGTATCCTTCTTGCTTGCATGATCAAGTCTTCTATTGAGGTCTCGAATGCAAGTGTACGTGCATTGTAGGTTCAGATCGTCACCGTAGTTCTTTGAAATCCATGCAGTTTCCACTGGCCTTGAGATTTTAGCAGCCTATCCGCACTCGTCCTATCCAACGATGCGAAAATGGGGCTTTTTCGGGGTCATGGGAATGAGGCCTGCTTTTTTTTTTTTACTGTGTTTGGCATTTTTGATACCCACGTGTAGCTTGCTGGGCTCTGAACGTGGAAACTGGGTATACTCACGGGTAGCTTGCCAGGCTCTCCCAGAGTGGACATGGAGCTTATTTGTTGGAGACGCCTCCTAACCGCCTCCCATGTACTTCCCTGTCACTTGATTGCAGGCTTTTGGCCGAATTGGCTCGTAGAATACAATCCGCATAGGCAAGAACGCACCCACACACGCATGCATGGATACGCCTAGCAAGTACAGGAAGTATGTGCCAAATCAGCGCAGAGGAAACAGGGAGCCCATCTCCTAGATACACCTGCGTCTCAAAGAAGCAAAGTCGCTTTTGGTTAACCATTAACTCTCTATAGGCTACCCGGAGGCGCGCCACATAGCCTCACGACTTACCGACTCGAGATCCCTCTTATAAGAAAATCCGCGGTCTAACTACCCAAGTTTGGGCTGTTTATCACCATCGACATGTCTTCCGATTTCGGTATTCCGCTCAAGAAATTGAGGGGAAGACATCGCTCATCAATCGGTTTATGTACGATTCGCTTGGCGTCAGCTACTAGGCAACCATCGGTATTAATTTTTTGAGCAAGGCAATGTATTTGGAGAACAGAACGGTCCGCGTCCAACTTTGGATACTGCTGGCCAGAAACGATTTCGATCGCTTATTCCTTCATACATCCGAGATTCAACAGTGGCTGTAGTGGTGTACGGCATCACGAATGCGAACTCATTCCATCAAACGTCAAAATGGATAAACGACGTTCGTACCGAAGAAGACAACGACGCTATCACCATGTTAGTTGGAAATAAAACCGATTTAGGAAACAGAAGACAAGTCTCTACTAAAGAAGGCCAAGGAAAACCCAAGGAACTCAACGTCATGTTCATTGAAACGTCGGTGAAAGCGGGTTACAATGTAAAACAGCTCTTCCGTTGTATTGCGGGCGCTTTGCCGGGTATCACAGAAATTATAAGAAGCATTAATGACATTAACCAACCTACTACTAAAATATTGGGCCTTTAGGAAATTAATTTCCGACTTATAATTTTTCTACTCCAATAGGTGTTCTGGCAACATCTATTTTAATCGGATACTGTACTACTTTATGTCATTACAAAGCTTATTTTAGGCACTGATTCTCAACATGAGACGTTTTTTCTTCCTTATTTATCTTTAGAAGGACGTGTGTGGTGCAGTGGTCAGCGGCGGCCCACAACATACACGTGAGATCGATCTCCGCGCCCCTGACTCACCAAGCCTTCCATCCCTCCGGGGTCGTTGCCAATAGACTTGTTTACCAGGCTAGCAGCACTGGCTCGATACATCGGTAGGCCACCGCGAGTCATTGGAAAGGCCAGATAAGATAAAGACATTCAGTCACCTCCAAACAATGCTTAATGAGGTCGAATGCAAGGCTCATCCCTCAGGGATTGATCAACGCCGGGAGCTTTAACTTTTTTTTATAAGCTGTGTTCTTGAATAATCCTAAAAACAAGAATATCAGATGTCAGAATAGAAATTTTGAAGATTCAATAATTTTACGAATTCACACTGGTACGTACATAGCCCAAAGAGGTTGAAATATTAATGAAATATGACGCTAAGAAAGTATTAACAAACACACACTGTAAAGTTGGTTTTGGAAGTTCACGTCGTGCTGAATTTGACCTTGAGGATCACGGAGCTCGTGACTTCACTCTGTTTTTGACGACGATCAATTGAAGATTTTGCTGAAAGCAAATAGACCCACAAGCGTTGGAGAACCGGCGTAAGAACTCTGTGTAAACAAACATCTTGACACCTTCCTAATGTGTAAAGAAATTTGTAAAGCTGAATTTCAACGACATTCAAAGGAATCCAGTTTTAAAGCATCGTAGGCGCTTCTTCTGTGCAATTAGAACGAGCTGTTTCTTGACCGTGTTGTAACGCGTAACGAGAAATGGATCCTCTACGATAACCCTCGATCATTAGCAAAGCTCAGTGGTTAGATCGCTATGAAGCTCCGTAGCACTTAAAAATCCAAAACGGCACTAAGAAAAAAGTGATGTTGACTATTTGGCGGTCCTCTTTTGGTTCAATCCACTACAGCTTCCTGAATCTGGATGAAAGATTTCTGCGAAAAGTACGTCCAGGAAATCGGCGGAATGAGCCAGAAAACTTCAACGGTTACGCTCCTTAGTGATTTTCAGAACGGGACCAGTTCTTCTGTGCGATAACACGCGGCGACACGTCGTGTAACCGATGCTGAAAAAACACGACAGGCTGCGAAGCTCTGCTTCTTCTACAATTATTGGGAGATCTTTTGCCCACCAATTACCACTTCAAATTCTTCGACAATTTGCTATACGAGAAATACTTCAGGAACCAAGCCGAGGCCGAAACTATCTTCAACGACCTCATTGCCTCCAGAAGGCTGGAATTTTAGGCAGGGATACAAACAAATCTGTTTCTTGTGAACGAAGATATGTTGATTCTAATCGTTTTAACTTCGATTAATAGAGTTTATTGCTCTTTGAAATGTGCCATTACAAAATTTAGATTGAAATCCGCTACAGATTTCCTAAAGACATATCTGTTTCAGGGATTTTAATATAAATGCTGTGTAAAATATTTTCTTCTTCTGGTGAAGGGGCTCCATTAAATTCATAGACTTGGACCTTTTTTGCCCTCTAACGAAGCAAATGCTTTTAAGGTTCTTGTTGGCGGGTGGAATAGCTCCTGTAGATGTCTCACCAACGAAAGCAACTAGCTCTTTGAAAGTTTTTCTAAGGAAGATCTATTGCACATAATTTTTATTAAGTGGAATTGAATCGTTTGGAAAATTTACGCTCTCGAATTCTCATCAACATGAGGATGTAGTTTTCTCTCTTAACAACTCAATACCTAGAGCTATATTAAACGAATGATGTTGTGGAACAATAGTTGAAACGGCTACGATCAATAAAGCGTGGGAAGTCAATAAGCATACTATACACTGCCGTCTAAGAAAAACGGTTAATCACTTCTAGCAGTAAGGTTTAGTATAAGGTACAAGTATAAGATCACAAGTCAATGTCAACACTTTCCACATGAGTAGGCGCAATTCTCCCGCATGAATATTGGAACCGTTCGACAGAGTTCAGGTCTTTCGGCCACCCAGCGTTTACAGGCGTGACGTAGGTCGTAACATGAGCCTTCAGTACCGTCACCAAAACGAAATCTCTTTGCCTTTGGGGCTTCTGAACACATTAAAACATTCAAGATTCACAAAGCTATTTCGCCCTTTGAGCTTATAGTCAGGTTGTTCGTTTTTATACTTGGTCGGATACTCGGATGGCACGTCCTCACTGTTTGTGCGAGCCCCAGTATAATCTCCATTTTTTCGGAATTTTGCTGGTTTAGTCATTGTGGTTTCCTGGAGTCCCAAGGTCAGCCAGGTCAAAGTCTGCCCCAGATCGTCACCAACAAAGGTAGTCGCAGCCCTTATGAACCAAAAGGAGATTCGCCACCATGCGACTAGTTTGGTACCAGAACGGTCACAGTCATGGTATTGGTTTACTATTAGCTAGGCTGATGGAAACACCAGACTCCTTCTCAGCTTGGAGACTATGCCAGGGGAGAATCCCACTGCTGTACCTCCCAGCCATGATGAGGTAGAAGACCATTAGGAGGACTAGCTTTAAAATAAAAGCAAATGTATTGAAAAGATGACACTCAGATGATTACTTAAAACTTATCGTACATTAAACTAATACACGTTTTAACCGGAAGGTTTTTGTTGTTATAACTGCAAAACAAATCGTATGCCATTCATTTTAGTGGATTTGCACCTCAACTAACTTGATGAAGAGCATTTTTATTATGATCAAAACTTTAAACATGAGTAAATGTTTAGGTAAAATCCAAGGCTTTTTGACGACTAGTATTAATTTTTTTGAGCTAGAGATTGCTGTCATAACTATAACAATAAGAAGTCGATGATTGTACTTCTATTTGATTTTATGTCTGAGATGGTATCGGTTGTATTATGGCAGTTATAAATATTTATATGATCTAAGATTTCCAAAACTTCCCATCACTTCCGCTTACCTATGGCTTCTGGTTGCTGTTGTTGAATACGTTCCAGTACCGCCGACGCGACCACCTTTACACCCTCCCACGTTTCACGAGCAGTTGGAATCAGCTCCGATTCGTCAAGGATGAAGCCGTCCCAGTCTAAAAACGGTTCCGTTCCATTTAACTAAATGTGAGATATTTTCTTTCTTTCTCTATATTTGAGTCGTTTCGATACTCCAAGCTGCTAGATGGGCGGATCGGAGTCTAAAGTGACATATTAGATTCCTAGTGAAACGAGTAGAAATCATGTTTTTGGAATTTTTTGCGAAAAGACACAACCTTCTTAGTACTTGTGGTGAAGAGATCGAGTGTAATAACATGCAGTTTTGAACAATGGGCGGGAAATGCACTCTGAGAAGAAAAGTCTGATATTTCAATTATGTCATAACATCTTTTGTGCTTTCACCTTTCTTTCTACTATATTGTTTTACCAAATATTCGCTACGCTATTCTTAGACAACAAGACATGCTCCTAAAAATTAATTAGATCAACACTGGATGAACATCAACCACCACACACGTCTCGGGCACACCGCATAGCAAAAAAAAATGCATATATATATATATATATATATATATATATATATATATATATATGGAGCTTGTAGCGTAATGGTTATAGGCTCCTGCAGATCATATGAGATGGATCCTCGCGTGCTAAGCTCACCAAGCCTTTCATCACTCCGGAATAGGCAAATTGCTGCTAGGCTTGTCTGGAAGGATAGTAGCACTGACTCGGTACGTCAGGAGGCCACCGTGAGTCACTGTATAGACCAGATATGTTTTCAACCACCTCTAACGATGTTTAATGAAGTCTAATGCATAGCGCATCCTTCAGGGATTAATCAACGCTGAGAGCATTGCCCTTTTTAGCTCTATCATTTATATACATGAGGGAAGGAGACGAAGCTCTATGAACCTATAGTGAACTCTGAATGTTGTCACAGCAAGGAAAAAGTAAACTGCCAGAACTCGCAGAAGTGAGACAAGGACACGAGTTGGACGTGCAGGGAATTCTGCACCATTCGGAAACCAATGTAAGAATCTTAATAGTTACTAGAAAAAATGAGATAAGTACATGAGTGGGACGTGCAGAAAATTCTGCGGCATTTGGAGACTGGTGCAAGAATCTTAACAATCACCAGAATAAAAACCTTGAAATAATGATGATATAAAGTATTTTCACTTTGGAACTTACTCTTCTCGTCGGGTCGCAGTTCAAGAAGGTAGACAAATTTAATTCCACCTGTATGTTTCGCCCAATCTTCGCTGCCACCAGATGCAGGATCAAAAGCAAAATAGAGCCGTTAAATATCAATCGAATATAAAGTGGAAAGTAGGAAAACAAATGCTCACATAACGTATCGGCTCCGCTTCCAACCACATATTTGGTACCATAAACTTTTTGTAGAGCTTTGGCTGCTTTTTTCCCAACGTCGTACTAAAATATTTTCGTGACATCCAATTTTATAAAGAATGCTCCAAGTAATTTTGATAGGTGATTTATTGTTAGCCCAGACGAATTCACTCAAAACTTACTTGCTTGCTTGATGCTTGAATGACCCGTTCTCACCGGTTGTGCGCGCCCCAGCATAACTTCCATTTTTCGGAGATTTGCTGGTTGAGCGATTTTGGTTTCCTGGAATCCTGAGGTCAGCCTGCCCAAAGCCTGCCCCAGGTGTTCACCACTACAGGCAGTTGCAGTCCTTGTGGATTAGAGGAAGATTTGCCACCATGCGACTTTGATACCAGAACGGTAGTGGATTCTGGTATTGGTTTATTGTAAGCTAGGCTTCTTGGTGGAAACGCCGGACTCCTCAGCTTGGGAAACCATGATAAGAGATGAATCCTCCGCTGTACATCGCAGTCCGACATCCAGGAACACCTCGCATCCACGAAGAGGTGGTAAGCCGTTAGGAAGAATTCGTTCAAAGCAGAACCAAAAAGTTAGAACTTCGACTAGTTTCACTTCCTAGGATAGCGGGTCTATGGCGTTCCCACGTGGATTGGAAGATCGTGCACACAACTGGGACAAGTAAAGAATTTGGTAATACCTGATCCATTCACCCAACGTTCAACAGGAAGACTGGCAACAAGCAATATTTTATTCTTCACTAAAATTGAACTGGAGTATGTGACTAGACAAAACAAGCTTGATTATCAGATTCGTGGAAACTTTTCTATGATAATTTCACAAGACATAACGTAGTATTAATAGTGTCCCGAATGGACTTCTCTCTTATTCCAGCACATCGTTACTGCTCTTTAAGTTCAGTTTGGGTATTGGACTTTCACAAAGCTCAAGGATTTCTCATGTGTTTCTTTTCCACTGTGAACCAAAGTTACGCACCAATTCACGAATATCGCCAGGATAGCTGTCTTTACGATGACCGTAGGGATGAATCCAAATCTGAGAGTAGGTATGGAGAGTGATGAAGGCGTCGACACGTCCGCGATAACGGCGTGACAGGATCGCGTCACGAATAGCCCTAAAAATTAGCTATTTCTTTTTGCAAATACGAAGGCTTTCTTTTATGTACAAATGTAAAGGATAAAAAGAGGATAAAGGTCTCGGTTTTGATCAGTCCCTGAGGGGTGCGCGATGCATCCGACTTCATTAAGCGTCGTTGGAGGTGACTGAATGCATATGTGGCCTTCACAATAACTCGCGGCGACCAGCCGATGTTTCGAAGCAATTCTGCTACCTTCCCAGACAAGTCTAGTACCAATTTGTCGAACCCGGAAGGACGGAAGATGATCTGGTAAGCCAGGAGCGCCGCGATCGATGCCATGTGTATTGCAGGACGCCTCCGACCACCGAGCCGTACGCACCCCTTGTGGTTAAATTTAAGTAAAACGGAATAGATTTTAAATTTTTTATGTGGTACGTAGCGCAGTGGTTAGTGATGCCGTTGATAAAGAAGAAAAGGTGCTAATTCGACCTACTCCTCAATGCCCTCCTCCAATGTACGCGGGAACGCCTTAGTCCCGCTATGTTCAAGATTGCTACGAGTGTTAACTCCACCACCACTTTACGTCATTCATGAAGGAGATGAAATCCTCATGCAGCAGTTGAAACAACAGGCAAAATGTTTGAAGACCACTGTGGACGATCACTGGATTCGAAACGAATCGAATACAAGAAGTGCTGAGATCCGCACAGTAGATAGGTTGACGGGTCGTGTATTACGTAAAATAAGAAATATAGAAAAAAAATAATGAACGTTCACCATCTATAAAACGCTACAAAAATTTTATCTATAGTTCCAGTTGTCGGCTGATTGTATCATGCATTTATTTCTGTATGACTGAGTTGATAAGATGTTGGTATAAATTCGGCTGATGTTTCGGCGCCCTTGCCTTCCTCACAGCCGCGTCGATCCGAGCCGATCGTCCATAGTTGGTCGTCCTCGCGATGTGGGTGTTCGCTATCGCATCGAGTTGAATTCAGTAGAGGGAACACTGTTAGAATGGTTGACTTCATTCAGCGGTGCCCTTTTATACAGGATGGGTGTTGACCGATCCCCGTCTCCAGTATGATCTTTGTGTGAGCAATGTGTCCTGCAGCAGTCGGTACTTGATTTGTTGGCATGAGTATTTGGAATTTTTTTTGAAAAGCACGACTTTTGGCAGCTTAAGAAAAATAGAGAAAGTTCAGCAATAAAATATTTTGGTGTTATCTTTCCATCTAACACTGCTGAAACGCCGAGCTACTTTGTTGCTTGTTTTAGACTTGTCATTATTCTCTAGTGAATGGTTGGTTTATGATAAGATGTCTGCTGAAAGCAGCAAAAGTAGGTGATGTACCCAGCAGAAAACGTGGTCAACTATTTTAAGTAAAAAGTCTTTAATATTTAATGCTATACGTTGAGCTTCAAAAAGAAAGTTATGGGCCAAGAATGTATGTTTCTAGATTTACTTATTATCCTGTGTGTTTTTGCAGTTAACCCTGTAAGATTGGTGGATGAGTGCTTGTTCAATATGTAACTCTAAATTTTAACATCTTAATGCTGACCTTGTTTCCGGTTCACTGAATGCCGCAGTGCCCTGGTAAATTTCTGAACATGGATCATCGCTGGAACCCGTTTCTGAAATTAACTAGAGCCTGATTGGACACTGATTATAGACATAGGTGAAGACTCTTTTAAGCAATTCATAACAACATTACCTAAACCACGAAAAGATAACTTCTAGCTCTCTCACAGCTTCGATCAATCCTAAGGAATGTGCTATACACTCGACTTCATTGAGTATCGCCAGAGCTCAGTGAATACATAGGTAACCTCTACAATGACCTGCGATGGCCTACCAATGAACCAACTAGTGCTGTTATCCTCTCAGGCAAGTCTAGTACCAGTTCCCTCACTTTGGAGTAATAGAAGGCTTGGCGAGCCCGGGGCGTAAGATAGAAACAACGATCAGTTGTGTATTGCAAGCCACGTCTCACCAGTGCGCTACACCCGTAACAACGAAAACGCAGAGGTAAACCTTCTGTTTTACTTTATATTTTGTGCTAACTACAATTTTTACGGCAAGGTACTAAGCGAAATAGAAGCACAATGTTACTGAGATATTTGCAAAATTCTGAACCATAGGGTGGGGAACGAACGCGTTGTTGTCCTTACCGAGGAGTAACGTGTTCACCACCACACCATGCGAGTCATTCGTTTCGCCTGTCTCTCAGCTAGTTCTGTCGATCAGCGCCATCAGCAATCAACCGTCAACGGGATTGATCTGTGGAGAAAGTTAGGTTACTCTCCGGAAAGGACAATAGCGCGTTCGTTCCCCACCTTAGACAACTGTGGTCCAGAATTTTCAAATATCTCAGCAACATTGTGGTTCTATTTCGCTTAGTATCCTGCCGTGAAAAAAATTGTGGTAGGCAGAAAATAAAATGTAAAACATTGTGATTTCAACAACAGCCTCAGCTTAAGTGGGTTCAATGCCGATGTGGCTCCTCAGATCAATCCCGTTGACGGGTGATTGCTGATGGCGCTGATCAATAGAACTAGCTGAGAGACAGGCAAGACGAAGGACCCGCATGGTAAACCTTCGTTCAGGAAACCCACGTAGGTTTCGAATTTTCAAGGCTACAAGTCTACTTAATACAAGGAATCTCATGTCAGTTAGTCATAAGGTTACGTAGCACGTCTCCAGGCCAGGGATAATGAATTAAACGCAAGCCAAAACCGATCATGTACTTTATACCTTTTTATAATCCTATTCCAGTGCCTAAAGTCTTACAAAATACAGTAGAAAGAGACTTATAATTCTTGAAATGTTATACTCTTTATGGATCTCGAGTGAATGAGTTCAGAATGGAGGAGCTAATGCGCCCCATAAGAATGGAGGCTTTCCTGTTGCTCTTTTCAATCTTTTGATGACAAATGGCCTTATAGGTGTAATGTATGTAATTTTTTAAAAAACTTCAGTTAGTAGAACTAAATGAAGCATAGGCGTCATGGATTTAAGCGGTACTTCCCCAGCGGCCACCACAAACAACATCTCACATAAGCCTTCAAAACGTTTAAGCGTCACATTAGACGTAGTTTCAAGTTTTAAAGATTTTGCCAAGTGGTGAGAGGCACAGAAAACTTTGTAAAGTAGAAATGAAAAACTCAACCCTTAAAATGGAAGTCGAAATTCCGATTCAAATCTACGCCACGGCAACAGCGCTTTCGTCCCCAGTTATCTTCACGGCATTGCATCAGCGAGCGATTTTTCCTCCATAGGCGGATCTTCAAAGAAATCGATTTTTAAACTTTTTTTTTAGTTAAACAACACTGTATTAAGTCAATCAACGCAATTTAGAAGTGAAGAGGGTTGAATGAAGAGCAAACTAAATGCCCTAGGCAAGAAATCGATTAAATATTGAAAAAGTAAGTAAACAGGAATACATAATTAATAATAGTAGTAAACAAGAAATTAGTGACAGCAATAAACAGCCTACATGAGGATTTGTTGACGAGCGGGTGAATTCATATCCGTCTGGATTGACGCATGGCACGATGACGAACGTGATATGCTCGAAAAGCTTCTGTATTGTAGAGTCCGTCTTGTAGTGGGCAGTGAGCTAAAATAGAGCTGCTAACAATAACTCTAGAGCATTTCCAACAAAAACTACCGATTAAGAAATGCTAATAGAAAGAATGCTGACAGATTGAGTGACTCAACGGTCATCGGAACTACAGTTGATAGAGGTGACAGGTGAATAGACAGAAAATATAAGCATGTTCTAGAAAAAATCTGACAGAAGCTGCTCTATCTAGTGAATCTAATGAAGGGGAAAAGACAAGTCAAAGAAGCTACCATCATTCCGAGTCTTAACAAGTGAGCTGATTTCCACTCACACGTTCGTAAACAACACTAGCTGGCAACTACAAATCGACATATCACGCCTGAGAGTGAACTTTATTAATTGCAATAAAAAGTATTAGAATGTGCAAATATTTGCCCAGAGGGTGCAGGCCCTCTTGCTTTGCTATGATATAGTTCTCAGCTTTTGAAGAAAGTAAACGTATTTTGCTACTGTGTATTTCGTTAACAGAGGCTATTGAACAAGCCGATTTCATTCACTGAAAGAGTGTGCTGCCCCCAAATGCGCTGTTGGTGCTTATGGTAGCCAAGATTTCATTTGGAATTTTAAGATTTTATCTTCGTTTTTATTTCTTTTAAAAACTTTATTTATAAGAAACTCTAAAAACCAAACAAAAGTTTTAGAGAACGGTACTTATTCTTAAACAGATGAAACAAGGTGTGCCTTATACAGCGATCATGTTTTCAACTCCTGAAGTGCTTTAGGTACGGTAAAATTATTGGCAGCTTTCAAAAAACTAGCACGGTCTTAAAGAGTTAAAAACATTATAGGCTGGTATAAAATAAGAGAACTTCAAAAACATCTCAGAGTCAACTTTCTATTAGCCACGGCATTGCTCAATAATTCAGCGTCTTCTTGTTGGGCAGCCGTGAATTATTCCACAATTTACTTAAATACCAGCGAACACTCTAGAACGTCAGGTAGTTCGTAACCACTTGTATAACTGAGTGTAGAGAACAGAATTGCATAATATGCCCTAAAGTATAAAAGATGGCTGCGTGAGCTCGGGCATGACTCATCTGACCTCTCGTAAAACGTTTGGAGACGAATACGTTGGGCGAAACGTGCAGATAACTCCGCCTCGGTGTAAACGAGCATCAGAAAAACGTAAAGCGAACAGAACACTCTACTAGGCCCGCGAAAAGCAAAAAGTCACAACGGAGAGGATTTTGAAGCAAAACTCACCATCCTTGCACAAGAATTCAAAACATTAGCGCGTAGAAGTCTTGAAGCGTTTTGGACGAATTTTAAAAATCCAAAAACGAAAAGCGAGGAGGAGTACCTTGTGAAAACGCATGACCTCGCGCCATATCTATAGCTGATTTTTTGACCTCAGGCAGCGCATTCCTCGTGCATATAACACTCTGTGAGGTTGGTTTTCACCAATGACTGGAAGGCTAAGGAAAAAAGCGGTAGGTCTACTAGTTTTTCAAAAATCCACTTTCATTTAACCTCGGTGTGACTAATCAACATGTATTGATTTACTGATAAGCTAACACGAGTATGATAGAAAAAGTCAGCCGAGTCGATTGCGCACAGTTGTACCTTTTTCCGATATGGATCTCCGTGATCGCATTGAGGCAAATCCAGCGAAGCACGCTTCGAGTGAAGCTATCTCATTCGGCATCGCACTTTTATAGAAGAAGGTTGGTGATAGTGATTGTCCATTGATGGCTGTTTGTGTTTTCACCGCACAATCCATCCTGCAGCAGTCGGTATCATAATCAGCTAGAACAGACCGAAGCAATATTTCAAAAGAGCGAAGAAGAGGAGGGGCCGAAACATTGGTGGAATAAACTTTTTTTCAACCTCATGTTAGCTAATCCTCACCTATATGAATTATCGCTTCATCGATAGCCCAGTGACTCGACCAGGCACCAGCAAATCTTCCGTTTGTTCACGTCGCGTGCAAGGGTATCCCAGAGGTTTTGCTCAATCTAGAGACTCCTTGAACATCTTGTCCTTCTTCGAGTGTTTTCGTAAAGAACTCTGACCATAGATTGGGTGCTCGTCCTGTTGTGCGTCCAACATCTCGAGAAATCAATCACTAGCGGCTCTTGTCCATCAGTCATCGTTCATGAGCACTACGTGTCCAGCCCACCGTATCTTCGACAGTTTGGCGCGTAAAACGGCTTCTTTGATTTTTGATAGGTGACGTAGATCGGGGCATCAGATCGCTTTTCTCACTTATGTGATACGGCATACTATTAGCACTATGCTTTCGACTGCGCCTTCAATAACGCTAAGTGATCATTCATCCTGCTTGTGTATGACCAAGTCTTTGACGCATACGTTAAGACAAGAAAAATTATAGAGCCGAAATGTAAGGGCGGAGTAGAGTACTCTTTGCTCTCCTCAACGCATCATCGATTCTCCTGAAAGTTCTCCAAGCCATTCGCTTCCACCTGCTCAATCTCATAGCTAAGTTGCTTCTCATGTTGATTTTTCAACCTGCGAAACCAATCCGATGCTCACGAACATTGCTTTTATAAGGTTCAGATGAAGACCAATCTTTCTACGGCCTCTATCAAAACCGGCAAGTTACGCTAAGCTAATACTTGGCGTTCTGAAAACGATGTCATCTCAAAGCGAAGATGGTGCAATTGTCGACCACTAATTTTCACTTCCATGCTGTCCCATCCACGGATCTCCCTCATATGACGGATTCTGATAGCCGGTTAGTCACGAGGCTACGTGATGTGTTCCGTCCCCAGGTGGCTGATAGGGGGTTAACCGCGGACCAAAAGCGACCTTGGCTTCCTTGAGACGCAGGTCAATCCAGGGGATAAACTCCCTGTTTCTGTTGCGCCGATTTGGCACATACTTTCTGTACTTATGAGGCGTGCTCATGCATGCGTATATGGGTGCGCTCTCGCTTATGCGGATTGTATTCTACGAATCAATTTGGCCAAAAGCCTGAAATCGAATGACAAAAAGTACATGGGAAGCGGTTAGGATTCGCCTTCAACAAAAAAGCTCCATGTTCACTCTGGGAGAGCCCGGCAAGCTACCCGTGAATATACCCAGCCTCCCATGCTCAGAGCCCAGCAAGCTATAGGTGGATATCAAAAATGCTAAACACAGTGAAAGCAAAACGGGCCTCATTCCCCTGCCTCGAAAGAGGCCCCAATTTTGCAGCGTTGGGTAGGACGAGTACGACGAGGCTGCCAAAATCCCAGAGCCAGTGGAAGCTGCCTGGATCTCAAAGAACTATGGTGACGATCTGTACCTACAATGCCCGTACACTTGCATCCCAGTCCTCGATAAAAGACTTGCTCAAGCAAGCAAGAAGGATAAGGTAGGACGTCATCGGCCTGGCTGAAACGAGAAGACGCCAGCCTTTCAGCACCGTTTATGACACCGGAGAAGAAGTGTTCCTCGGAACATGCGACTAATGGTCAAAGCTGAAGAAGCTGGGAAAAGCATTCGCAAAGCACTGAAGCTTGGCCAATTACAAGACCAAAATGATAGCACTTCAGCGCCCAGACGGAGCAGTCACAGCGGCCAGAAAGCAATGGAGAAAATCATTCTCGAATACTACTCAGATGGCTTCGATAGCTACGTCCACCTTACGTTATATGAAATAAAGTAGGATGGATATGTTGTGCTACCGGTTCTCCCTTCCGAAATCCGATATGCCGTTTCGTCAGTGAAAAATTGGAAAACTCCAAGTCCTGACAGAATAACACCAGAACACCTGGAAAACCTTCCGCCAGTCCTCGTAAACACACTGGCTCGACTCTTCACACCTTACCTGTCTGAGTGCAAGGTGGACTCAGTGGAAGACCAGCATGACCGTGTTATTGTTCAAGAGGGGTGACCTACACGGTATCGGCAACTATCGCCCAATCTGCTTACTGCCTGTCGTCTACAAACTTTTCACTCAAGTTATCCTAAACAGAATTGACAGAACACTAGACGAAGGACAGCCACGTGAACAAGCATGGTTTCGAAAAGGATTTAGTACGATGGACCACATCCACACGATAACAAGACTCACTGAGGCATTGCGAGAGTACAAAAGACTGCTCTGTCTCACCCTCATCGATCTACAGAAGGCCTTTGACTCAACTGAGATAGAAGCAGTAATGGAAGCCCTTGATAGTCAGCGAGACCCTACTCAGTACATGAAGATTTTTCGTGAACTGTACAAAAATTTCGCTACCAAGATATCACCATTCCACAACGATATTAACATCGATATCAGAAGAGGGGTTAGGCAAGACGATACCATCTCGCCAATATTATTTACCGCGATCCTCCAGAACGTTATGCGAACACTGGAATGGCATAACGTGGGAGTGAAAATCGATGGTCGGCAGTTACACCATCTTCGCTTTGTTGATGACATCGTTCTTCTAACACCGAACATTTGCCAAGCGGAACGTATGCTTGACGACTTTGATAAAGCCTGTGGAAAAATTGATCTTTGACTAAATCTCACAAAAACGATGTTCATTAAGAACGGACTGGTTTCGCACGCCCCGTTCAAGCTCGATGGAACGAATATCTCCGAATGCTCCAGTTATGTCTATCTAGGTCGGAAATCAACACGTTGAACGACTTAGCTCCAGAGCTGAGCAGAAGGAATCGAGCGGCTTTGGAGCTGTGAAGAGTATCGAAGATGTAATGAAGAGAACAAGGAACACCCGACTCCGTGCCCACCTTTTCGATTCAACGGTACTTCCTGCTCTAACGTATGCGTCAGAAACCTGGTCCTTGCGTAAGCAGGATGAAAGATCACTCAGCGTTATTAAACGCGCAGTGCAAAGAACGATGCTAGGAGTATCCCGTTTCACACAAGTAAGAGATGGGATCCGAAGCTCCGATCTGCGTCAACGATCAAAAATCAAAGAATCCGTTCTCTACGCCAAACAGTCGAAGGTAGGCCAGACACGTAATGCGTATGAATGACAACCGATGGGCAAGAGCCGTTAGTTACTGGAATCCTCGGAATGTCAAACGTACTGCAGGAAGACCACCGACTCGATGGTCAGAGTTCTTCACGAAAAGTGTAGTAGAAAGATATGATGCTCGACGATTCCCTACAGCGGGCAGAAGCCACTGAGCTACTACTCTCGCACGCAACAGGGAAAAATGGAAGATTTACCAGCGCGCGATCGAGTTACTCGACGGTCAAGAGGATTACAGGTGATGCAGGTGATGTTGTTTCATTTTTGCTTTCTGGAAGCTGTAACTGTGTGGTTTTGTCAGCCTCTTTTATCGCCTATCTGCATTGTTTTGCATGTTGAGTGGCGGTTGACTGTTGCCTGTACGATTCTTAGGAAAGCGTATTGGCTCGAGCATGTCCTACGACAGCCGTCTCTTGTGATTTTCGCTGTCAAGCTTCATAGCGCTAATGTAAAGATGTTGAATGAGCCTACCGTATTCCTCGTCGATGTTATCAATAGTGCCACCTTGTTAAGAGTGGACTATTGGCCTAAATAAATACAACGTTGTGGTGGTTTCAAGACCTCGTCTTTTGAATTCGGCGGTTTTTTTTTGTTTAAGTATGGAATCTTACGATGGAAGCGGTGGTTTAATCCCGTGTGGAATTTTGGCACAACAGCGACATTGGTTAGGCAGGCCTTCAATTTACTATGAAGTGGTCTATTTCGTTATGATACTCTCTATTGGGAGACTCCTGGGTTTAGCATTGAGAGCGGGGCTTTTGGAATTCGGAGTTACGAATAGATGGTCTTGGTCGTCATGATAAACTAGATAAGCGCCCACTCGGTTCCGTTCTAGACCATTTGCCGTAATGTGAGGTCCGCCAGGAGTCCCAGTGAGTCTACCCTTAGCGTTAAAGATTCCAGTGATGGCCTTAACGAATGCATGGTCTTTACTGAATATCTTTTCCAAGTTGTTTTAGAAAGCTTCGACTCTTTCTTCTCTATAATTTGATGTGAGCGCTTAAAGAATGAAGATTGTCAAAGCTGGTATTGATCCACATCTCTTCAATCGTAAACGTACGAGGTTGTAAGTTGTTCGAATGAATCGATATTCATGGACAAACTCGTGTTGACGAGAAAGCTGACGCCGCCGATTCCTCTACTGTTGCATGTTCCTAGGAACAGTTCCCAGTCGGTGTCACGAACGGCGTTAAATGGGTGGCCTCGTCTCGTCTCGCTCTCGCTCAGGCCGATGAAGTCGTACCTTATTTTTCTCGCCTCTATGAACAAGTCTTCTATCGAAGTCTCGGGTGCAAGTGAACGTTATTGTAGATACAGATCGTCATCATAGTTCTTCGCGATACAGCAGCCTACAATGACCCTGAGACTTTAGCAGCCTCTCTCTCTCTCGCAGACACCTTTTCAGTTCAACAGCCATGTTTGTTAGGAAACGGTTACTTTTTGTGATTTCATGTGAACTCTACTTATAAGTCGTGTTTCATTGTTTTGGCTACAGTTTCGTTCTGCCCTACGAGAGAAAAAAGTGATTTTAAAAAATGGAGCGATAGCGCTTCTCTACGGATTAAAAACAATGAGTTGATTACAACACTGTATTCAAACGCTTGCTATGTGGGCTAACATTTGACAAATACCGAATTTACACAGCTGCTTCTATTCGCTAAAATAATATGAATATTAACGAAAACAGGGACTGGGAGTTAGTTCGTTGTGAAGCAGTTGTATAAACGAAAAAAAGAGTGACTAATCAATATGTATTTTTTCTTGATGAGCTTACACGAGGTTGATTAGTCACACTGAGGTTAAAAGGAAGTCGGTTTCGAAAAGAAGATTGATGAGGCAACACTACAAAAAAGTACAACGTAAGAGTGAAAAGAAAGCGAAAGGCGAATGCTCGAGAAAACAAAACTCATTGCTCATTAGACCTGCGTGTTCAAGAAAGCTGGAGCACACATGTTACTATGTTATTCAGCTGAAAATCTAGCCCTGGTGGCAGTGTGGCAGAGCTCAGCTGAGATTAGCGGAAAGACCATCAAGCGTGACATGATTGTCAACATGAATCCTCAACTTCAAGAATCTATTAAATGTTAGTGAAGTACTCAACGAGTAAAGTGTACCCTTATCAACTTCAGTACTAAATGACCCTCATCATTAATGGCGAAGAGTGGAGTGCGGAGTATAACAAAATTTCTCCTGGACTATTGACTTGATTTAGTATAATTTTTTCGGCCTAATGCCTCGGCCTCGAAAGCCGTAGAAGTGCTTTCTTATTGATGGTAAAATAACCGCTATTCCTGGTTCTTGCTGCTAACTGGGTTTGCGGATGGAAATACTGGACATCTCAACTTTGACCTACTGGTCAGATAAATCTTAGGATAAATTCTTTAACTTGTATATAATGCTGAGATATTTGCAAAACTCCGGACCGCAGGTGTATGCGGTAGGGAACGAACGCGCGCTATTGTCCTTTCCGGGGAGTAACGCGCTCACCACCACACCATCCGGGTCCTTCGTTTTGCCTGTTTCTCGGCTAGTTCTATTGATCTTTTGCCATCAGCATTCACTCGTCAACGGGATGGATCTGAGAAGCCCAAATCGGCATTGAACCCAGTTAAGCTGAAGCTTAGTTATAATCACAATCTTAACCCTTTTATTTACTGTCTTTTCCTTCTTAATGGCAGGGTATGTTTACAAATATCTCAGCATTATATACGAGTTATATTTCGCAACATACCCTGCCATTAAAAAGTAAAAGGCAGTAAATAAAAGGGTTAAGATTGTGATTATGTGATTGTGAAAGTCTTTACTCAAAATGACACACTCAGACACACTTCAAGTTGTAATGAGATGGTAAAGCACTGGTGAAAGGAGGATAAGTAAAAAAAAAAGAAAAAAGTAATATATAATCCCAAATCGCATGGTCCTGCGAGCTTTTTCAAAAAATTATAGAGCAAATTTCTTTTTGTAAATCTTATTTACCTGATGGATGAAGTAGAGAGCAGTATGGGGTGCTGCCCATTCTCTGGCATGAATACCACCGTCGATCCAAAAGATCCGATTTGTTCGATTGCGATTACCAATCTTCAATGTATTTTCTTATCCATATGAATTTTGTTTTTATTTCAATATTCATCTCTGATAGTTTCTACTGAAGGGCGCATATAGCGCAGTGGTCGGAGGCACTCTCCAACACGGACGTGGAATTTACTCCACGCCCACGGCCTTCCATCACTCTAGGATCGGCAAATTGGTACGAGACTTGTCTGGGAGGATAGCAGCACTAGCTCGATACATCGGTAGGCCACAGCGAGTCATTGCAAAGGCCAAATATGTATTCAATCACCTCCAAACGATGCTTAATGACGAACACATTGCGCATCGCTTAGGGATTGATCAACGCCGAGGGCTCTTTTATTTTCAGTCTCTACTGAAGCCAAAACTTTCACTTAAAATAGCATGGATACTAGAATACCTTATTTTTTAAATGAACTGAATGCCTATCGTTTTAAATGCTTTCTTCAAACTCTATGGTAAATACGTTTGGGCCAACTTGCCTTCGCTATGGTCGAACCCCCGTTTCGGCATAAGTTGTATGCATTGTTTACGTAGTCATTCTTACAATTAAGTAAAGGCAAATCACTTTGTCTTAACTTGTTTTCAGGCTTTCATCATATATAAATTCAAGAGCACTCATAAGACCATTTGAGTGTAGTTTACCGTCAATTTTAAATTGGAGGTTTTCTTTGACAGACCTTGCTTATGGTATTACTCTAATAAGACAAAAAGAGCATGATTTCGGAAACAAAAGCCTGCGGGTTTTTCGTGACATCGTTGCTTAATGGTGCGCTAGAACTAGGCAGCCAAAAAAAGTGGGACCGCTGAGACATTCGTGAAGGAGAACAGGCGGAAATGGACGCTTCTTTGGTTAGATTCTAATTGTACGTTGAACAACTAGTGGAAACGGAAAACGATGATAAAGAGTGATTGTGAAGGAAATGGAGAACAGTGTGGGCTGCGTTCAAAACTTGAAAACTGAGCAGGTGACGACATAAAGCCGCGTTCACCTATTTGGCTAAGTGGTCTTAGCAGCTCTACCTTGTGCATCTGTTATGTGAGGTGTTACCACAACCATCCTGAGAATCCTACCAATTGCCCAGAAAGCTCTCCAATAGTGCTGTCTGAAACGCAACTAGCACGTAATCGGGCTCCGAAATACAAACCTTCAAAAATTCTCTTATCCACATGACCTAGAAGAAAGTACTTCCAAAAAAAACAAAGAGACCGGACATATGACGAGAAGAGAATAGTTGAAAACACATGGATGGAAAGAACAGTAGAGTGGACTCTGCAGCATGTGCATGACTTCAGCACTACCGTGTACAAATTGTGCGAACGTATTTGGTTCACGTCAAGTAGAGGTGTTCTCAGCTGTCATTAATAGTTCACGAAGTGATAATTGTAGAAGCCATCACATCCGAAGTAAATCGCTACTACGCATGATGTGTGACGATTCTGAGAGAAAACGTGAACAAAAAACACTTTGGAGCCTTCACAACTCTTGAAGACGGTCTATCGATTAGAGTATCCGTATAATGCTCGAAAGGGAGTGTTTTCTATAGGCCACCTTTTTTGTAAGCTTATTGGAATCACTGGAAAATGATCAGTTTTCTGTATGACATGAAAAAGAAAACCATTCAGAATCGCCTTACCTCGACGCCATCAATTGACCGGCCTTCATGAGTCGTACCGATGGAGAGGAAAAGAACGTGTCGCGGATCGTCCTTGGCCAATGCACGCATCCAGGAGACCATATCCTCTAAAAGTTGCATTCGCTGGAAACTTCGAAAGTTCGAAAGTTTATCGGACATTTGAGGAGAATATCTCTGTATGACACTCATCTAACCGTAAGAACCGTAGCGTCCGAAGTCATAAAACGGTCCGGATGACTCGTCATGTAGACGGCGTGGACGTTCCGCTCTCTCTTTCGCCGTGATTAGCCTAATTACATGCAATGCAAGTGCTGGTAAAAAAGCTTACTATCTTAAAACATTTTGAAAAAGTAAAACTCATCAAAAATTTTAACAGAGTAAACGAACTTCTGAACGTCATCTATGGTTTTTATGTAGCCGATTTCATATTTAGAGAGTCTCTCCAGAAGTTCATTGCCGACTTGTTCATCAACCATCACATCCCAGAAACCATTCAGATTTTTCGCTGTTTTCCAAAAATCCAGCTAAACAAACGATTTTTAGCGCAATTCATCTGCTCACTTTAATCTCTTTCTGAGCATTGCTTAAGAAGCTTCGAGAAGAAACTGCATCCTATTCATTGCCCTCATTGCCTGTTTACTTTGGGACAAGGTCCTGCTTGACAGGATTTGACTTGTTCCATTTAATTCGAGCCACAAGAACAAAAAGCTAAAAAGAAACTACGGGCTTCTTAAAAAAATTTTGCCTTGGTAGAATGAGTAAAATATCACTTGGCTGGTAAATATATGTGTTTAAACTCTAATGGCTTTCATTCCATTGAGTAAATTTCACTAAGTTGACATATATTGACACGATTCTTAAAGAACAAATTATTTCCGCCAACGTACGCGTCGAAATAAATTAAAATCTTAAAGAATCTTTGGAATAACTAAATATGATGTCATATTCCAATTTTATTGTAGACACAGCTCCCTCATCAAACCTTCACCATCGACACGGTAATATTGAGCTGCGCAAGATGACATTATCTGGCTAAAATTGTTCATCGTCACATTCGTGGTTAAAAGTTATTGCTCAATCGAAGATAATAGATAAGCGACACGGAAAAAAGATAAAACTGGGCATAAAATCGAAGAAAACCCAGGTTGCGCAAAACCTATGTAGTGCAAGAAAACGTTTTTCTTCAATTAAAATGAACAGATCGAACGTGCACCAATGCTTTTTATTAAACTTGGAAATCACCAAGATCAAGCCACTGTGTAAGAAGAAACCATGAACAGCATTCGAACCTTTCAGAGAACCTACCGATCAACTGAACAAACCGACGAGAACTGGTCTGACACCACCCGCGTAAGGAACTCAGCACACCACTTCCAAAACACATGAATGGCGCCTTCTGGTACGCACATTACCTAATTGGATCGAACAGTTCAAACCTTTCCATCTTGTCTACCAAATCGAGAAAGACACATCTCGAAAGCGAATATAGCAGAACTGTTATATCATGAAAAGAGCTGACTAGAGATAGAGCAGCAGAATGTAACCTAAGTGGGTAATGTTCTCACTTCAAGAAAGACCATCTGTGTACTCAGGGAACATGTTTCTGGCCAACATCAATCGTCTGCTTTGCCGGTGTAAGTAGTTGTTGATCACAACAGAATGATGGTTTTACAAACCATGATACTCCAAGCAGACCATCACCGTTGGCGTCGTTCGTGAGAGAAGGAAATAATGGAAGATATGTAATAGTTGCACTTTCATATACGTTAACAGGATGTGGAATCATAGAGCTCTAAGAAAGTGCGTTACAAAATGATACTATTTTACAGAAAGTCCAAAAAAAACTTGTTTACTGTGCATTGAATGTAAATTCTAAGACTGCTTTACAGAAAGCTTTTTGTCAGTTGAAAGTTCTTGGCCCATGAAGTATTGCACTGTTAACTTCGCCTTTGGATAAGAGCATTGATTTTCTAAGAGTCTTCGCTTAAGCTTATAGCAATTGTAAACTGTGTGAGAAGGCGAAATGAAGTGAAGTGGATTTTCACTAAAGCGAATTAATTATAATGTAAGGTATGGGACTTACGATAGCCTTGTGCAAGTGTATTCTTTGCTGTTATCATATAAGAGTTTGCAATGCATTAGTTAACACATACGTAGTCGTTAATTCAATTCCACACCATGAGAAGACTGAGAAGACCAAGTCGTTGTCTGTAAATTGGTACCAGACCTGTCTGGGAGGGTGGAAACCCTACTTTCTATATCTGTAGGCTTTTCGAAGTCACTGCATAGGCCAAACATGCAGTCATTCCTCTTTACGGTGCTTAATGGAGTTGAGTGAATAGTTCACTTTCAAAGAAATAATCAGCGCTGAATAGTTGAGGCTTTCACTGTAAGCAGCGGTGAAAATTGGTCTACCCCTGCATCAGTTTTCATTGAGAAAGTGGCGAATCCAGCTGTTGGGATCACGACGCGCTAGCGAAAACCTTATCCGGCACAGGTCACAAAGCTAAGCGACTCCATTTGGATTATCTATCTAACGCGACCGCTATTATTAGCGTATTACCCCAAGTTTCGAAAATCGGAAAAAAGCTCAGGTATACGTTAACAAGATGAATGAACTGGTCGAACTACTTATTTTTTTTGCTAGGAATAAAAGAGCTCAAAGAAGGGAATTAGGGAAAATCCTTGCCCGAGATGTTGAAAAGAAGCTGTAATTTTTGAATACTGTTTACGTGTGGTGACAGTGAATGGGCTTCCGGAACATCGAAATAAGTTCGAAAGGACTTTCTTTAAAAAGATCTCACGGATTTTTTTGCTATGGGAAAGGCGATTTTAAAAAGAATCCGTCCGTATCAAACCCCAAGGACCGATGGCCATTTCTAGTAATGAATCGTTCTTGTGTAGAGTTAAATGCTTTATTCGAAGTGATGTAATTTAAAGCTATATAAAAATCGAACTAAGTACAGCTTTTAAGTGAGATAAGTAGCCATCGCAGAAGACTAAGATGAGCTTATGGTCATATTTAAGCCATCGCGGAAGACTAAGATAAGCTCATGGTCATATTTAAACTAGCTCTTTATAAAACAACAATGTGGCTTGTTCTTAACTCTTTTATTTACTGCCTTTTCTTCCTAATGGCAGGGTATGTTGCGAAATATAACTCGTATAAAGTGCTGAGATATTTGCAAAACTCCGGACCATAGGTGTATGCAGTGAAGAACGAACACGCGTTGTTGTCCATACCGGGGAGCAGCGCACTTCACCACCACACCATCCGGGTCCTTCGATAGAACTAGCTGAAAGATAGGCAAGACGAAGGACCCGGATGGTGTGGTGGTGAAGTGCGCTGCTCCCCGGTAAGGACAACAGCGCGTGTTCGTTCCCCACTGCATGCACCTGTGGTCCGGAGTTTTGCAAATATCTCAGCATTTCATACGAATGTGGCTTGTTATTGCAAAGTAAATAGAACGTCAGGCGTTAAAAAGAATGGAAATTGTCAGATATAGAAAATGTGGTCATAGAATTAGAAATGAAATAAAGATTACGAAAAAGAATGAAATTATCTTAATGTTATACTTTTTATTTTCTGCTTACTATAATTTAGCGGCAAGGTACTAAGCGAAATACAGCCACAACGTTGCTGAGATATTTACAAAACTGGACCTCAGGTGTCTATGGTTGCCTGCCGCGAAATTATAGTAGGCAGAAATTAAAAAGTATAACATTGTGATTTCAACTACAGCCGCAGCTTAACTGGGTTCTGTGCCGATTTGGGCGCTCCAGATCAAACCCGCTGACGGGTGATTGCTGTAGCAAAGATTGATAGAAATAGCTGAGAGACAGGCGAAACAAAGGACCCGCATAGTGTGGTGGTGAACGCGTTACTCCCCGGAAAGGTCAATAGCGCTTTCGTTGCCCACCATAGACACCTGCGGTCCAGAGTTTTGCAAATATCTCAGCAACGTTGTGGAAATTATCTTAACTCTCCTGACCTTGATCGTTTATAGGTCGCGTGGGAAAAACGTGGAGGTCATATAAGCGCGCTATCAAAAACCATTTAATCTCCTTTAATACACACTATTTGGTGAATGTGAAGCTTGAAAAAGCACTGGATACCATTAATGCCGCTTGTATGTTGCCTATAACCTCCTAGCTTACTTTTCAGAAGAATACCTCTTCAATAGAGCATAGGGAGAGTAACTAGAATAAAATTTTAAGTCTGCACCCATTAATCTTCGCCTTTTCGTGGAACCTTGCATTCCAGTAGTTACACGTGCCCTGCCACACACCGTGGTCGTTGGTTTGATTCCGCGTAGTTGGAAAACCAACCTTAATTCTTCTGGGGTTCGGCAAAGCGGTAGCAGGAAACTCAGGAAGGATTGTAGCACTGATTTCATACATCGACAGGTGACCACAACTTATTATATAAGCTAGATGTCCATTAAATAACCTCTAGAACGCTATGAATAGATCTCAATGCATGGCGTATACCTCGGAGATTGATCGTTTTGAATGAATGTCGGCGATTTCTCTCTTTTATTATGTGTTGTAATCACCAAATAAGACAGTAACAAGTAGATTAAATGAAGGGAAACAATTAAGTGACTTGATGAGCTGCAAATAGAATCGGATTAAGAAATTTTCTTTTTTCCGGCGAGACTTTCTAATGGGTTCAATGTTGTGTTTTTGCCGCTCTAGGTGCACCCCATTGGTAGCGTAAAGATCAATTTTCATTTATCTTAGCTCTTCACCTTGCTCATCGAGAATAGTTCTTTTTTTAGATGAGTATATATTTCGTTTTTCTTAGAGAAAACTCCATTGGGAGTGGGCCGAAAAGACTTGTCTACAGTTGCGATCGCCTACACCCACATACTTTCGATAACATCGCATAACTAGCACGAACAATTCATCAACAAACGTTTATCGGTTTTTTCAAATCGTTTTATCAGCTTACAAAAATCGCATCTTTATTGGATTGCCGTAACTAGAAATTTTAATTGATCTGAGGAGGTGAACGGATGTCTACATCGTATAGAATGGTCATCTCTTTATTCTATTATATTGCATGCACAATATGCTACAAATTTAGATCAAATCTTACCAATATGATTAGGAAATAGGTGAAACACATGTACAGATAGTAACTTTTTAGTGAATCTGATTCTGGATAAGGGATAAAGGATGAAGCCTTCGGCGTTCATCACTCCTTCAGAGAAGCGCAATGCATCCAACTTCATTCGTAGCATCGTAAGGCGGCTGAATGTATATGTGGTCCATACAATAGCTTGTGGAGGCTCACCGATGTATTAAGTCAGTATTTTTATCTACCCAGACAAATTCGGCACAATGCATCGACCACGGAGAGATGAGAGGCTTCGTTGGCTCGGGACACTAGTCGGAACCAACGTCGAACGAAAGTGCAGGGTTCCTTTTCGAAATCAGCTCATAAAATGACACAATTGTGTTCCTTCACCATTGAATCAGCTTATCATAAAGGTACGTTTTAAATTTGAAAGGTACTTTACAGTAATAAAGAAAAACTCAGCTATACACGAACTTCTGGTATATTTTTTTAATACAGTGATAGTGACAGTTTTAAGAGTAGTTCAACTTTTGTCATGAGCGCGATTACTTCGCAGTAACTTCGCTCTTTAAAATAAATCAAGAGAAAGTTATGAGATAAGAAATGAGGCTTTCTCTGGTTCTTAGATACTCCCAAAAGAGATAAAGCAATTTTTGTGACTCATCGGCGATTCATAAACGGCATAAGAGATTTATGTTGTAGAAATAGACGGCTTAAACTCAACAAATTAAGAAACAAATTTAAAACCGCGGTCCTGAGAAAAACTCACAGAATTGGCGTTGACTCAGATGTTACTGAACGAATGAATGAGGAAATTATGTTAACTTTAAAATAGTTAATTCGTTCTCTTATAGTAAGGCGCTTTTCATCAACTATCACCGAGACTGATTTCCAGAATGAAAGCATGAAATCAGTGAAAAGCTTCGCATATGGTATTTTCGTCAAGAAAACAATCACGCCTTAAGATGTTAATGTACATCTCAGTAAAATTTAACAAACCTTACTATTCAAAATGAAGCCACAAAGAGTCTATAACGCTTCACCTCAAGAAAGAAACTGCTTAACTGTGTCATCACTAGTTAGTGTCATCACTTAACATCACATTATAATGTTATCTGAAGAAGGCAACTCTTTCCTTTGAAATAGAACTCATCGAGGCAATTGAATTCAGAAAGAAACGACTCCGTACGCGAACGCGTCGTTGATGTTGTCGGCCATGACGATCGCTTTACTGCCTGTCATGCTGTCCTCACTTGTAAAAGTGAACACCTCATGATTGCGTTTGTCAGCTAATGACCCAATCTCCTCATACTACCTTGCAACGATAACGTGAAAAAGTTCTAGAAGCTTCCCAAAGTCCATTAAATGTGGTAACTCTTTTTGTTGAAGCTGCGAATTTCGCAGTGCGCTATAAGCATACAGTCACTATTGAAATGATGATATAAAGAAAGGAAAGTGACAGGAAAGAAAACGATTATACCAACAGTATGAGGTAGTCAAACAACAACTAATCAGTGCTTAAAAAATAAGGTAGTAAACAAAAATCTCAGAAAAAACCTGCTGCAAAAGCCATCTTTGTTCGAGATTCTGGTTTACTAGAGATATCCGTTCAATCTAACCAACATAACCAAACCGGAAAGCCGCCGTGAAATCAACGAAACCTGCCTGTAGATGGGTAGAATTGTCATAGAGACTTCTGATAACATTGAACTGTGTGTGATTTTTGGGTAGAAGCCGATAGACGCTAACGACTTCCGTGCGATGAGGTGGTGGTTTCTGCGATGTGGGCGGCGATGATTCGTCACCGCCGACGACGACGACAGAGGTGACGAACACGGTGGCGACGATGACGACGACGACAACCATTTCGCGAGCGTGTCGCGTGGAGAATGGCGGCGAATTCTGCGTCTCCGTCACTGCTGCACTATTTCAAGGCGATCCAGTTTTGGTTGGATGTGCAGGTTTTCGGTCTCCACACACAGAAACACATAAGAACCGCTTCGATCAAAACCGCTTAGCTGAAAGCAGTAGATGTTTGGTAGCTAATAGAAACCCAACATAACCTGCATGAGAAAAAATAAAGGGTTTGGAAACTTCCTCACCTTTTTCACTGATCCACTATCGTCTGCCATCGTAGCAGTCACCGTCGAACATATCCAACGCTCTGAAATTCTGAAAAAGTGTCTTTCCGGTTAGCTCAGATGCTCGTTCAATGATTCATTGATGAAAGACCTTTCAATCACTGGAGTTTCCTCACGCATCCCAGATTATCACATTTCCTTCAATGAGAGAATCCCAACCGGCCACTAGTGAGGCTACGTAATAAATCTCCAATTGTAAAAAGCTGGTTGATGGCAGACTAAAAGCGACCTCGTACTAGATTTAGGGCGAGTGCGATCTTAGGTTATACACTCATTAACTTTGCCTCCACTTGCAATCAGTTAAAAAAATCAATTCAGTAGTTAGGCAATACATGGGAGCTGTTGAAATGCGATAAAGAAGATGTTAAATAGAGAAAAGCAGTAGTTCGAACTGAAGCAACATAGGTCTGATCCACAACACCCGCAGACGATTCGCTATTTAAGTTGAAAACAATCTCTCTATGATGTTCGTATGGAGTAACCATCACATCGAGAATGATGCTCGCGGTGACGTACAACTTTTCATTGTAAAATCTCTCTTTGAGAACTATATCCACACGGCTATATTCAGCCTCAGGAATGGCAGATATTCCGATGCATTCGTTCATTCTTCTCAAATCTGATCTACTATCAGTTGACAAGGAACTGAACGGTGTCTACTCCAAACAGTATTAGATATCAGTTTCAGGATAACCTGCATAAACTCCTTAAAGATATTTATTCTACTTTTTGCAAGTTACTTTTAAGTGCAACGACCGACAGCAGCGGAAAACCGGTAGCATTGTGTTGTTGCCCAAAAAAGAAGCACAGCGTCTATCATAGGCAAATCTTTCAGCTGCTTGTTGTCAACAAGCTCCTCACTCGAGTGTTCTTCAACAAGATTGACAGAACACTAGGCGAGGGGCAGTAATAACAGAAAACAGTTCATTGTATTCTTGGTGACTTAGCACGGCTGCTACTTCATTCGTTGTTGGCGAAAAAGCTGACGTTTCAGAGGATTTTTCCTCCTTCAGAGCCTGGAAGGGTCAAGTCGACTTCAGTCCATACAGGCAAACACCTCCATAACTAAAACAGAAAAACGTCAAATCACGATTTCAATCACACTGGAAGCAAAATAGCTTTATAGCACACTGATTTCTATGAGTCTACTAGTTACTATTCAGTAGTGAAAAAGGAGCGCAAAGAGTTAACATAGATAGGTAACATGCCCTTCTCAAATCAAAATATCAGTCTTAAATTCCACGTGAAATCGAGTTTGATGACGAGGCACTCCTCCGTTTTCGGATTCTTGGATTTTTTCGAAATGCTTCGATACTTCGGGACTCTTAAGTTTTCAATTCCTTCTTGAGAATGATTAATCCTGCTTCAAAAGTTTTCCAGCTATGGCTCTGTGTCCTATGCACGCCTAGAGGAGCATTGTCCAGGTGAAATACTCAGTGCTTAGACACATAGAAAGGGCTGAGCGTGCGAAGAAGCTGTTTCGTTCCAATGCGATTGAAATTCTGGTTCCGTGTTTCTTCTTCTTTGGTTATGGTGTTTGACTGGGTGATTGCAGCAAACGTGACCTTTCCAGGTTCTGAAGGAGGTGAAATCTACCGAAACGTCAGCATTAACGTCAGTGAAGAATAAAGTAACGCCTCATGTTCGCTCATCAAAAATGTAGTGCGTTATTTGATAAATGCCAAGGTTAATAGAAGGTAGGTCTTCAGAATTCTAGAAAATAGTGTTTCAAAAAGGGTTCAGTGCGGTATACTTCATTCGCATAACGACGAAACGCACTGAACCATCTCCAGAGTCCACGAGGCCGCTTCGCCTCACTTTTTGTAAAGTTAAAAAAACCAAAGACTCTTAGACTTAGACTCTTAAAAACCAAAGACTTACGCTTCTATTTGAATTCTGTGCGGTTGGTCTTCACCCGGCATACTCAGTGGAAGCCTCATAGAAAGCGGTGAGTGTGCAAAGAAGCTATTCTGTGTTCAATGTGATTGAAATTTTGGTTTAGCGTTTTTCTGCTTGGTTATGGCGGTGTTTGGCTGAATAGATTGTTGTTAACTTGACCTTTCCAGGCTCTGAGAAAGGCGAAATCCATCGAAACGTCAGCGTATTCGTGAATAAAGAATAAAAATAACACCTCGCATTTGCTCAACAAGAATACGAAGATTTACTGGATCAATGCGGAGGTTAATAGAAAGCCGGACGTGGGATTTATTACGAAACGTTACCAGCACGATACTTCCGACTTGAAAAAGAAGCGCTGTCACTAAGACAAAACATCGTCTTAGCTCGACAGTCAATACACTTTCTCCGTCGCTGTCTAAAACACCGAGTCGTACTGCACTTCATCAAACGAAGACGACAACACCATGTATGCGGACTCACCGAGGGACTAGGGGACAGTCACCAAGAACTGGCCATCGAATTGCGAATACTACGCACCTTTCTACAAAGCCGACAAAACCAGATGTTCCAAGTGGGAGAAGTGCGAGACGAAGGAAAACTTCTATGCACAGTATTTGGACCGCTTCTGGAGGAGAATGGTAGGTGGGTCAGTGTTGATTTGCAACTCTATTAGGTCTAATGCTAAAGTAACTTTGCGGAGAAAATTCGAAGACCTTTTGAGTAAATCGCATGACACGGCTTCAAGAGCATACAGAAACACCGCCAACGAAGATCAAACGAGTCACAGTAGGATAAATAATGTTCAAAGAAATTCAAGGCTAAGCGTGCTAGGAGGCACGACTCTCCCTGACGGTGCGCGCTCGTTATTAGAATTGGGACCGAGTTTCTCACCATCTGAACCCATTTCTAAGATAACCTTGCGTAGGGTCGCATGTAGTTTACATGAACTTTAAGATAGACTCCGCAAAAAAGCTAGAGATGAAGCGCAAAATAGGTGCGAACAACACCAAGCGGTGACCCTACCAATAGCACCATTTCCTCACCCGTCTTTTAGACAACAAGAGCCTAATAATAAAGTTGATGTTAAATTTCAGATTTTTACGAATGAAACTTTCAAAGTTCTTAATCACGCTCGCGCGAAAAGATACACCTCAAACCTCACTGAAGTGCAAAAAAGTGGTATGCGAGAGGTACGAGAGGTGATAACGTTGAAAAACATAAGACTAACCGTTAGTGATAAGGATAGGGTGTTTGGCGTAATTTCCTATAAGTTAGATGTTGAGATAACGAAGAAGCATCTTGAAGATGCTTCACTTTATCGCCCATCATCTGAGGAGTTTAAAAGTAAATACCGAAAATTGAACCATGAATGGGTCAAAATGGCAAGGGCTGCTGGTTTAAAAGCGTCAGTCATCTCTCAACTAAAAGTTGACTTACCAACATGTCCCGTCTTGTACTTGCTTATAAGAACTCATAAGTTAGTATCCAACGATGATCTTGCGTCTACCGATCCATCACTATTTAAGGTTAGACCTATCATTAGCTGCGTAGACGGGCCAACGGATAGGATAACATGGTTTTTAACCCTAATATTTAACCAGTTTTTAAAACACATTCCAGCTCATCTTACGAATACCCAGATGTTTTTAGATCGTCTACGTACTGCGCAGCCCAGCAGCGCGTACGTGATGGAGTCCTTCGACGTTACCGCCTTTTATACAAACGTGTCGAAAGACTCCGTAATGCAGGCCATATTCGAACTCCTTATAGAACCCTAGGAAAGAATTAACATGCATAGCTTCAAAATAAAGCTGTTGATGGCACTCTTAAAAGAATGCTTGAGCTGCTCAATCCTCAAATGGTCCGTAAAGTACTACGTTCAAATAAGAGGGTTGGCAATGGGACAACAACTGGCACCAAGTCTTGCCATTGCATTTATGTCCAAGGTGGAAGCATCAGGGACCGATTTCGGGCCGTTACTCTGCTGTAGATATATAAATAACTGCTTTGTTCTTTGCTCAACACAAGAAGAAATGGACAAATGTTTCGAGTTGTTGAATGAACAATCAGAGTATATCAAGTTCACCCGGGAAAAGCCGAAAGAAAAATGGCTTCCATTCCTGAACGTCCAAATTAACGTATCAGAAAATGGCCGCATTACGAAGTGGTATCGAAAGCAAAGTAGTAAAAACATCTTGGTTCATTAGCTCTTCTCTCACCCCTCTCACACGAAAAGGATGCTTGTGAGAAACATGTTTCGAACAGCTACCATCGTGTGCACAGGAAGACAGCAGAGAGAGAAGTCCCGGAACTTGGCACGGCAAATAGCCATTTCTAATGGCTATGAAACTGTAGCTCGGTATAGGTGTAGAGGAAATCCTAGGCTCGCAAACGACAACTCTAGCGATAGAAAGGTTTCGTTCCTACCCTTCTTCTCAAATGATGTAAGTACAGCTATAAAACGCTGCTTAAGAAGGACGGGTCTAGAGAATTCGGTACACGCAGTTGAAATACCTCCGAGTAATCTTAAGCGCCAGTTAGTTCGTAACCGCCTATATGACCGTTTATGTGCAACCCAAAATTGCATAAATTGCCCTAATGGTAGAGACGGTGATTGCATGAGCTCGGTTACAGTTTATTTTATCTCCTGTAAGGCGTGTGGAGACGAATACATTGGCGAAACAGGCATACCACTCCGTGTCTGCATAAGAGAGCACATAGTCGGCAAGCGTAAGCCAAATACCCCACTAGGCACGCATAGAACCCAGAGACATAACGGGAAGGACTTTGAAGTACGTGTCACGATCCTCGCACAGGTATCGAGAACACAAGCGTGCAAAACTCTCGAGGCGTTCTGGATTAATTCCAGAAATCCGAAAATGAACCGCAAGGAAGAATATCTCAATATCACACGTGGTATTGGGCAGTATATAAGCCTGTTATTCTAATAAGATATCACATTACGCTTCCATGTGAATTCCGTGCGGTTGGTCTCCATGCGACATACTCAGTGGAAAACCGTGAATGTGCAAGGAAGCTATTCTGTGTTCAATATGATTGAAATCTTCGTTTAGCGTTTTCTCTGTTTGGTTATGGAGGTGTTTGGCAGAATAGATTGCTGTTAACTTGACCTTGAAGGTGACCTGAAGACCCTGAGGAAGGCGAAATCCACCGGAACGCCAGCGTACTCGTGAATAAAGAATAAAAATAACACCTCGCGGTTGCTCAACAAGAATACGGAGACCAAAGACTTTGTTGAGGCAGGGAGCCATAGACGTTCCAGACACCACTTGCTATTGTAGGAAATTTCCTCATTAACAGTACTAGAAATTCGCAGCCAGAATTTCGTCATTCTACGAAAATATCTCTTGAAAACCAATTATAGCCACTTTGGAGAAAGTTATGCAGAAAGTGGAATGAGACAGCATGAGGGTGAAAATCGGTGATCGGCGAATGAACCGTCTTCGCTTTACTGACGAAGATCTTCTTATAACACCAAGCCTTAGTCATAGAGAATGAATACTGGTTAATTTCGACAACGTCTATGGAAATTTTGATTTTTCTTCAGATGTAAAAAAATAGCTACTTAGGAAAAGACGATAATGAAGACCTTCTGATGTACCATTTAGTCTGAATAAAACGAAATTTTCCAAAAGCCAAAAATATGAGTATCTGAATTAGAAAGTCAGCATAGTGAAGGTTAGCTAAAGGAAAGGAACGGTTTGGAGGGGTTACGAAGTCGTCAAGGACCTAACGTGGTGTAAAAAGACCACCTTGTTATGTGATAACTTTTTCAACTCCTGCCTTTGTGTGCTCATCGGGCGACTGGACTTTTACACCAGTAAGCAGAATCAACGACTAGTCAGTGTTGCTGAAGGAATGATGGATGGATGATGAGAGTTAGAGATGGAATTGTAAACTCCGATGGATGTTGAAAGACCAAAGTCGCTGTCGCACACACGAAGATCTCAAGTGAAGAGCCACTAGCCACTGTGATACCATGAAGTGTGGAGTAAGCAGCAAACCAGCGAATTGGCAGTCGAACTCTTTCAATAATATCGTAGAAACAAAACATGGTGTTCTTAGAGTTGCCGTAGTGAGCAGAATTCGCTGAGTTACTTTTGTACATGACGAGAAGGTATGGTGAGAAATTTAACAAGCATCCGCAAGGGTGGTTCAACAGTCAACTGAAGAACAGCTGGCAAGCAGTTGATTTAAAAAAGTGGTTGAATTAGCTCAATCTTTAGTGCTTTCATCAGTGTACAGTTGTCAGTGTACAGTTGATGAAAGGAAGGAAAAAATACTGCAGACCACTGATGGGTGACCTTAGTGGGTAATTCTGAGATGGTAATCATTTTGATAATGAGACATTAAATATATACAAATATAAATACATTAACAAATACAAATATACATTAACATTTAAATGGCAAATAAACTTACATTATTAATCTGATTTTAAAATTTCTTGAATAAACTTTGTTTGATCCATTGCTAAATAAACTTCTGAGCCCATTCTCTAAGTGATTCCTTAACCACAACTATGCGGTTCAGATAATTGCTTGCCATTGAAGACCGCTTTTATCTGTTTACAGGAAAACGGAAAGAAAAACCAGAGAGAACGAGAGAGTGAGAGAACCGAGACATTATAATGAACTGACTGTGAAAAAAAAGAATGAGAAGAATTTTCTCGAATGGAAAGTCGTGTGAAGGATTTATTTGACCCGACTAATCGAACAATCAGTATCGTAAATCTCGAGAATCACACAGACAACGAAGAACAGTGAAATGTGCATGATAGTGGAAAATCCCCTACTGCGAGAAAAAAAACATATGAGGGAGGAAAGGAGTGCAGAATCATACACATCGACCATGTAGCAGAAGACTCAGAAAATTCACCGCAATCAACGAAAACAAATGTTCTGTTTAGCAATTTCTGCTGAGGAGACAACACAGATATAATTTATTAAGTAAATTTAAGAGACTACAGAAATTTTAAGAAAAATTAGTTAGGTCAAAGCATAAAATAAGATGTTAACCCTGTTTCGATCTAAGTAAATCGGAATTCACTCAATGCTAGTAGCCTCCGGTGTAAGTTAGGAATCATCTGAATCAAAAATTCATTACTCCTACAAAAATGTGGTATTCCTTTGAAAGAATGAATGCTGCCACACATAAGTATTAGCATTGATGGTAGCTGATGTGAATTCATGACTGAGGGATAAGCTCGGTGAATTCACGTTGAAAGGGTAGAAATTTATTGACTATACTTTCGAGAATATAATGGGAATGCCCTGTAGAAGATGATGACTATGAATGAATAGATCAGACTAGTCATACGATGGAGGCAGGTTCAGAATGAGAATGCGGTCTAGACTCACCAATGGGATTTCGATGATGATCGGTTTGCTTCTCTATTCAATAATACAAGAGACGAGATTCATCAGTAACGATATCAGTGAACCGGGTAGGAAGGTCTGAATGTGGATGACATCCTGGCGATTAACAATTAGACTTTTAAATCGTAAAGACTCCCATTCATGCATAAAGAATAAAGGATGAAGCTCTCGGCCTTGATCAATCTCTGAGGGATGAGCCATGCATTCGACTTCTTTAAGCATCGTTTGGAGGTGGTTGAATGTATATCTTGTCTTTACGACGGACTCGCGGTGGCCTACCGATACGATGAGCTAGTGCTGCTATCCTCCCAGACAAGTCCGGTACCAGTTCTCCAACCCCGGAGAGATGGAAAGCTTGGTGGACCATTGGCGCTGAGATCGATTCTATGTGTGTGTTGGAGGGCGCTTCCGACCACTGCGCCACAGCCGCCATGTATCTCTTAAAAAATGGGTAAATGCCCGAAATGCTTTCGTTCTCGAGCTCCACTTTCTCAAAACTTTCATTACTTTGACGGAAGTGGTATAGATAAAGCACTGATTAGGATAACTTTAAATGAAACTGAACTTTGTGGAGACGATGATGTAGAATCAGTACAGTTTAATTGATGTATTAAATAGAAATAATATAAAACGTTTCAGACAATTTTTTGCGCTTATTTATTGTTGTTAAGAAAGTAATGGGCTTACATCTATTATCGACTCCCCCCTTGACCCTAAAACCTGCACTAGGACCGAAAAGCGGTTTTCGAAAAAGGAAAAGGGCTGAGCTTTGTTTTTTGAATCTAGATTTTTGTACGTCTTCACTTCTCCCAAATAAATAAAACCTTTAACTCTTCAAGTTCAGATGAGGTGTCAGAAATTCTTTAGGAAAAACATCGCACACATAAGATCGTATTTACGCGATACGGCCAAAAGTATAAAAAGCCTTTAAAAACAAGAAATCTGACTAATAATAGCATGTAGTACCAGAACCAAAGGTACAGAAGCTAGTGATTTTGTTAATGCCTATGGGTGGTGCTACTTTAAGCAGACACCGCACGACAATGGACAGCGCTGCTTCATTTCCGGCCATGACGAACAGGCTCCACTCTCAGCCCAACTAGCACACAATGCGTCGCGATCCACACAATGTCGTTGCTAGAAAAAACAAAAAGGATGTGAGCAAAAAAAGTAGAAAAATTTGAAAAAAAAAGATTTTATTTTAACATGATATGAGCTAGTATCCCAGCCAAGACGCATGGAAACTCAAGAAGATCAAAAGTACTACTCAAGTAGGCAGTTCGTTGACCTCGTTGAATGAAGCCCTAGCTCAGCCATTTTATTTGCTGCCTAATTTACTTTTTAACGGCAGGGTATTATTAGAAACACATCTAAGATGATGCTGATACATTTGCAAAACTCAGGATCGAAAGTGTCTGCGGTGGGGAACGAACGCCCTATTGTCCTTTCCGGGGAGTAACGCGTTCACCACCACACCATACGGGTCCTTCGTTTCGCTTGTCTCTCAGTTAGTTCTATTGATCTGCGCCATCAGCAATCACCTGTCAACGGGACTGATCTAGAGAGCCCAAATCGGCAGCGAACCTAGTTACGCTGAAGCTGAAGTCAAAGTCACCATCTTAACCTTTTCATTTGCTGCCTACTTTAATTTTTAACGGCAGGGTATCATGCGAAATACATCTAAGATTATGCTGAGATATTTGCAAAACTTCGGACCGGAATATCTCAGCATCGTCTTAAGTGTATTTCGCATGATACCCTGCCATTAAATATTAAAGTAGGCAGTAAATAAAAAGGTTATGATTGTGATTATAACTATAGCCTCAGCTTAACTGGGTTCAATGCCGATTTGTGCTCTCCAAATCAATTTCGTTGACGGGTGATTGCTGATGGCGCAGATCAATAGAACTAACTGAGAGACAGGCGAAACGAAGGACCCGTATGCTGTGGTGATGAACGCGTTACTCCCCGGAAAGGACAATAGGGCGTTCGTTCCCCACCGCAGACACGTGCAGTCCGGAGTTTTGCAAATATCTCAGCATCATCTTAGAACCTCTAGCTGTTGGCATCACGAACACTACTAAATCAGAATGTGATGCCGCCATTGAGCTGTGACTCTTGCGCACTCTCATTTAGTGAGGACGGAGCTAATTTTGAGTTGCCAACAAAAGACTGGAGCGCAATTTTGAAGGCACCATAATTTTTAAATATACTTCCATTATCGGACACCATGACAGAAACGATGGCATGAATTTGGCATTAAAGGTTGTGTTATATTCCGATTACGGACGGACGTACGATTAAGGACGCGTACGGCAAAAAAGGATAAATGAAAGACGGTGACGCTGAATCTCCTTTTCTCCTTTTAGGAGACTATAGATCTATAAATGAGTAAATTTCTCACCAATCGTTGAGGTGCACGAGCAACGACTGGTAATGCCATAGTTTGTAAAGCGATCACCTTGACAGCTTCCCACGTCTCCCGCGCTGTTGGCATGATCTGAACGAATAAGAATGATAACCGATTCGATGGTTGAGAAATTGGCTAACAAAAATAAAAGCGAAAAACGGGCTTACTTGATTTTCAGAAAGCAAAAAGCCATCCCAGACCTGTTCCTCAGGCCTTAGTTCAAACAAGTATGAATACTTCACACGTGCTCTACCTTTTGCCCAATCTTCTGAACCACCAGAAGCAGGATCTAGAATTATTAAAAGGAAAATTTTAACTCATAACCTTGGAGTCGATTCGAGGTTACTGAGAATTTCAAGAAAACGTGATGAACGAACAAAATAGTTTTTCAAAAGGAAAGAAAAAATAGTAGAAAAAAATTCTCATTGTAATAACTCATAATTAAACTGTGATGGGAACTTTTAATTCCTACTATTTACACATTTAAAAACTTAGGTAAATCACATTTTATGTTGGCATAAAGCGCTTACACAATGTGTCGGCACCAGTGCCAACTTTGTAAGTGGTCCCGAACATTCGCTGCAAGTGAGATGATGCGCTCAGAGCCGTCGATCGCTTGAAAACAAATACATTTTATAATGCATTACATTATATCAGATCATGCTCTACTGTATACTGTGTTACCATATATTATATTCTATTACTTTAAATTTTGCAACTTTAACTTCTCAACCTTCGTCGCCTGAGACACCTACTTAGACGTCGAATTTCGACAATGCACAACATGTGGTTCGCTTCTATCATAGTTACTCAAGCTGAGAAAAGTGTACTGGTTCTATCCGAACGTTGAACACGAACAAATCAAACCAAGGATTCGTAGGACCATGAATAGAGATCTAATCACAGCGCTGTAAAGGTCTCTCCAATCCACAGCAGAATGTGAAAAAGCGGTAGCGGAGGTGTCTTGGAACTCAAAGAAAAAATTTCCTCACCAAGTATTGAACCCTCGTCCCCCTCCTGTATCACGTACTATTGAGCGCTCTTATATACTACGCTGCGCTTTGAGAAAATCAGTGACCAGCGATACAATTTGTGATGGTTAAGTGTGTCGTCAGAATTGGTATAAAACAATAAGTCCAGTCACGGAGACCTTTTCAGCTTTGTTTGATACACCACAACTGTGGTCTTTTCAAAAGTTGATATTCACTCTTTTTAAAGGCAGTTGATAATGTCAAATTTGACGTGATCGCCTTACAGAACCGCTATATAAGAGAATGTAGGCCGACATGCAACTGTACTCTCGCTACCTGCATAGAAGGGTTTCCATTGCAAAATGTTGATAACATAGGCATTGTGGGATGTCCATCAGCTACTTATCGCATAGCACAACCTCTTTACCTGTCGCAAATTTACCGTGGGAAAAACCAGCAACCCATGTCCTTCTACGCGATGCCACATTATCCAAAAAGAGCTGAAGACAGGCGCAGCTCCAATGTCACACAATATTACAGCGGGCATTCGTTCGAATAGATGGATTGAGGTACAAGTCCTCCGCATGATTCACAAGAAACCACATCCCTCAAAAACAATAAATCCCAAACATACGTGGGCCACCTGCTTGCTTTCCTCCTAGGAACGGTGACTAAACAGACCAACGCAACTGCCGCACTATATACTTGCTTAGTGATTAGAGTAGATTCATTAGACTCAAGAATATTCATCAGACATATAAAAACATTTAAAGATGCTTAACCAAATTAGCAAGTAGTACGTTTAGAGGCTTTTACTATATGTATAATGCATAATGACTGGGCAAGTTTTTGCAAAAAAATACAACTGAAACACAAAGGATGCTCAAAAAGCTTATGAAGCCGTGGAGAAAATTAAAACTGGATGGGTTCTGACAACATAAAGAATTTTAATTTATTATTTACTGCCTCCTATTTTTAACGGCAGGGTATAGATTGCGAAATATAATTTCAATGATGCCGAGATATTTGCAAAACTCCGGTCCGCAAGTGTAAGCGGTGGCGAGCGAACGTGCTATTGTCCTTTCTGGAGAGTAACGCGCTTACCACCACACCACGCGGGTCCCTCGTTTCGCCTGTCTCTCAGCTAATTCTATCGATCTTTTTGCTATCAGCAATCACCTGTCATCGAGATTGATTTGGAGGCCCAAATCGGCAACGAACCCAATTAAGCTAAGGCCGCAGTTATAATCACAATTTTAACTTATTATTTATTGCTTACTCTTTTTAACAGCAGGCTATACATTGCGGAATATAACTTCAAAAAAGAACGATAGAACTAGCTGAGAGACAGTTTAACTAGGTTCGCTGCCGATTTGGGCTCCCTGGATCAGTCCCGTTGACGGGTGATTCCGCAATGTATAGCCTGCTGTTAAAAAGAGTAAGCAATAAATAATAAGTTAAAATTGTGATTATAACTGCGGCCTTAGCTTAATTGGGTTCGTTGCCGATTTGGGCCTTCAAATCAATCTCGATGACAGGTGATTGCTGATGGCGCAGATCAATAGAACTAACTGAGAGACAGGCGAAACGAAAGACCCGCGTGGTGTGGTGGTGAACGCGGTACTCCCCGGAAGGGACACTAGCGCGTTCGTTCCCCACTCCATACACCTGCGGTCCGGAGTTTTGCAAATATCTTAGCATGATTGAACATGAACAATATTACACGTTTAATTAGGCTAATCAATGAATATAGAAAACGAATAAGAAAGGATTTTGTCAAAATGAGGGCGGCATGAACTATTGTTAGATTGCTGAGAGAAGCCGTTGCAAATTACTGTCAGACTTTTCAGGAAAATCTTGCTCTGATCAAGTACTCTCGATCGTGAGGACTTGGGAGCACCTTGACATGCTGACATCGGGATTCCACTGAGAATCACTGTGGACCAGACCGCTTGCACGTTTACGAAAAACTCCTCAAGTAGCAGCTGAATCCACATCCATGTCAGAGTCCCTTCGTGGATGATGGAACTGAATGGAAGAAGTAGTGTGTTCTAGGAAATATGTGATGGTAAGTCCCAAGAAACAGATAAAATAAGAAGTAGTAACTCTTGTCGTATTGCTAAGTCTTACAGTCCTGAAATGCTTCTTTGTCACGTAGCTCAAGTAAAACCGACAAATCAAAAGCATGCTTTCCACCTTACTAGAAAATTAAAATAATTGTTGTAAAAGAAAATATTACTATTCTGCGTGATAGAAACTTTGGAAAAACGTATATCTTCTTCGTGACCGTATTAGAGTGAAGGATTTGTTAAAAACACTATTCTACTACTATGATTCCATCCCAATATTTACTATAGCTGGAAGTTTCTGCAAAAGAACAACAAGCTACGACTAAACTATTCATTTACGGTGGCTGGCAAACGAACAAGACGAAAACGAAATCCATCAGCATAATAGAAGACAAGGAATTTAGTGGACTGTTGGAGAACAATATGGAACTGTAGACGACTTCAAATGCTTCGCAAATGAACTGTAGAAATAGCGGATGAGATGAAAAGTAGCCAAAGATGACTAAGACGACTAAGCCATACCAGAGAAAAAAGAACGACGAATGGTGTTCGATAGCCTTTAACTTACGGACATACTTCTATTTGTATTGAGATTGCACGTCATCAACAATTGCGCTGCCTGCAGTACAACTTTTACTAAGATAAGAACTTGTTAACTAGTAAAGCCCATTTTTTTTTCACAGAGTCTTAAAAGATCGATGACTATACATTTCCAGGTTCTCAGCACACGCAGTTATTTCTTTTTGGATCTGGGAGTCTTGTGAATACTTTTCTTCCGAAACGAAAGAACACCTTACCACAGGTTTCATTTTACTTTTCATTTATAAGAAAATGTCGAATTCATTCCAAGCTTAGGATGGCTTGCCGAGAACGACCACCCTGGAATTCTGATAATAGGAGAGACAAGATCGCGAGTTGGTAGACCATCAACGGTCCCTTCAATTATACAACAATGAATGATGGCTCATATATAGGATCCGCATCCAGATGGAATGGATTGAAGACGAGTAAGTGAAAAAGTAAACGCGTTTAACACAAATCTATGTACATTCCTTCAGAAGACGGTGGATCACCAAAAGAAAAGTGATTTTGAACGCGAAGCAATCGAAGCAACTAGTTGGAAGGATTTTCAGTGAAGTCAAACGCTAATTACTGAAGAGGTGCTGTGGATCGGAAGAAAATCGGAAACGAACAAAAACGGCCGTTTTTGTTACGGCGCAAATTTCACATGAGCTAGAACTAAGTTGAAATTTTTAACGGCAGGGTATTTTGCGAAATATAACTTCAATAATGCTGAAATATTTGCAAAACTCCAGACCGCAGGTATCTAGAGAGAGGCGAGACGGAGGACCCGCATGGTGTGATGGTGAACGCGTTACTCGCCGGAAAGGACAATAGCACGTTCGTTCCCCACCGCAGACACCTGCGGATCGGAGTTTTGTAAATATCTCAGCATTATAGAAGTATAAAGAATATTAGAAAGTTGGTAATGAACAAATTTATTTGACATAGTGGAAAGATGTCTATTTTTGCAAGATGTTAAAAAATAAGGCTAACCAAGTCATTGAAGTCACTCGAGTAGGTCCTGATTTGATGACCAAATGGATACATCAGAATCTGTGAATAGGAGTGAAATGTGAGAAAAGTGTGCACCTTATGACGCTGGAGAAAGTCACGAACGGAAGCCGTTTCCGGTTCGGAGAAGGCGTACGCTCCCTAAGAACAGTGAAATTGAGGATATAGTTATAAACGTATGTCATTTAGTTGTTAAGCGAAAAGTACAATAAAAAGATAAAGGATGAAGAGTTTATTGTTGATCAATCCCTTAGGGATTGTTTCATTTACCCAACTCCATTCGTGGTTTTTTAGAGTTGATTGACAAAATACTTGACCCATACAAAGAATTTCGGGAGGTTAGCAATATCAACTTTTGGTTAAGTGAACAGCATGGTTTGCTCAAGGTGAGGGATTTAACAAACAGCTACGCATGCGTTACAAGGCTCCAGCAACCACTGTATTACACCTATCGTTTTTATTAGTTGTGCCAAGGTTAAGCGAATGTCGGGTTTTCGGGAAAATAATTCCGCCGTTTTTTGTTTTAGCAACCACAAAATGTTCAGAGTTTTTTAAACAGCATATATTTATTTCCGTAGAAAAACACACAACACGGTGATTGCATAAGTTCAGGTGCGATATACCTGATCTCTTGTAACAATTGCGGAGATGAATATATTGGCGAAACGGGCAGACCTTTGTGTATCCGTATAAAAGAACACCTAGATGGCAAACGAAAACTAAGACGAAGCACCCCACTAGGCACGCATAGGATACAAAAGCATAGCGGAGACGATTTTGAAGTAAAAGTCAATATCCTTGCACGGGAGACTAGAAGACAAACTTCTCAACGCATTTTGGATAAGCGTCAAGAACCGCACAATGAATTGCAAGGAGGAATGGCCACACGCGACCCGGCCCCGTATCTTCGCATCAATTTCTGATGTGGAGTAGTGCAGTCATCAACCATATGCGACTTTAATCAGCTGTTCTAAACTTTCTCATTGGAAGTCATGAAAAAGCGATGAGTTTTTCGAGCTGTTGATCATGTAATTACCATAGAGTTTTTCGTCTTTTTGTAAGTGGTATTGAAGCGTTTGGCCTAGTAGATTGCATATCAGTATACCCTTCCAAGCTCTGAAGAAGGCGATACTGCCGAAACGTCAGCTAGTGTTGTACTGTATTGTGTTTTTCTATGGAAGTAAATGTGTGCTATTTAACAACCTCGCGTTTGCTGAGCAAGAAAATGACACATTCATATTCCTATACCGAGGTTAATAGAAAGTCGATTCTGAAAACTGTTACAATATTTTCACCGTCCTAATTATCCTCACCTGATAGATCTCCGAGCAAGGGTCAGTGGACGAACCAACTTGACCGAAGAACCAGTCAAAGTTGCGGTTAAGATCGACACCTTGGCAGCAAACGGTTTGTGGAACGGTAAATAGGCCTAAATGGAAACAACTAACGCAGAAGTTAAATTTTGATATATGTCAAAATTCAACTGGATGGTTCAGTCTTTTAGTTCCCTCATCCACAGTAGAGCACTACACTCATGGATACGGTAATAAGTGCGACTCCTATGTTTGACTTTGTGATGGCAGTAGGATTCTTATATTCCAGCATATAGAAAAAATCATAAAAAATTCAATTGATCAATGCGTAATTTAGTTACAACTAAAAATAGAGAGTAATTTTTAACCCAGCTTCATAGCAAACAACAATCAGATCAAAACATCCACAGTATCTTTCCTAAATAGCAATCGAGTATGTCTTGCTGAATGAAAACGGGATTGCGGATTTATGAAGCACAAACTATTTGGTGTGGACACGGTAGTGAACTATATTACTTTGCTGTCATGGAGTCTTGCCGAACGTTCAGACCAATGTTTAGGACAAAAATAAACATCAGAAGAGGCATCACCTGTGCTCTGCTGAATGCACTTGGGCGGACTGCGATTCTTACGCCATAAACGGATTTCTGGATTGCTGCTACTACGAGAGTATTCGTAACCGTCTGGATTTAATAACGGCACGATGTACCACTCTATGTTGTCGACAAATTGTTGCACTTGTGGATCTTTGTCGTATTGGGTGACGAGCTGGAATGTGTCCACATAATGTTATACCTTTTTATTTTCTGCCTACTGTAATTTCGCAGCAGGGAACTAAGCGAAATGCAACCACAACGTTGCTGAAAAATTTGCAAAACTCTGAACCGCAGGTGTCTATGGTGGGGAACGAAAGCGCTATTGTCCTTTCCGGGGAGTAACGCGTTCACCACCACACCATGCGGGTCCTTTGTTTCGCCTGTCTCTCAGCTATTTCTATCGATCTTTGCCACAGCAATCACCCGTCAGCGGAATTGCTTGTGTTGTGTCCACTTATTTAAACAGTATAAAGCATTTACATTGTTCAGGTGATGATAGTATTTCGCTCCAGTATCAAGGAGGAACGTGACACCTTGTAGGTGCTTCCTATGTGACTTCTCCATTCATGACAAATTAAACATCTATAGAAATAATACGGCACAAACAGCACAGACAGATTAACGAATGCACAATGATTGCATGAACATTAAAGATGATCGGTTCTAGAGATTCATGATGCAACACTATGCAGTGCGATGGTGCGATTACGTAAAGCTGAAATCGATCCGCTTCAATGAGCTTAAGGAGAAAGGACAGCAAAAAGGCTTTACAAGGAGATACCAACTTTTATATACCGTCAGAAAAAGAATAATGTAACAGAGGAATTTTTCCTATCCACAGGTGTAGAAGCTTAAAGATATCATAGACATTGCACAGTCACAGTGATGTTGAGGTTTTTTCAAATCTTGAGCCACAACCCAGATTCGATCTCATAGTCATCCTTTTCAGAGGCTCACGTATTACCCATTGCACCACTGAGGCCCTTTCTTTGTCTTTTCTTATTCTGCATTTACCCGAACGGCGCTATCAGGAATCAGCCGTCAACGGGAATGATCTGGGTACTACAAATCGGCATATTTTGTGGTATATCATCGGTTTTGCAAATATCTCAATACCAATGTGGTTGTTTTTTAGACGTGGACGTTTCCATCAGGAAGCCTAGTTAGGAGTAAACCAATACCAGGGTCCACCACCGTCCTGGTATCAAAGTCGCATGGTGGCAAATCTCCCTCTGATCCACAAGAGCTGCGACTACCTGTAGTGATGAAGACCTGGGGCAGACTTTGGCCACGTTGACCTCGGAATTTCAGTGAACTACGTTGGCTTAACCAGCAAATCTCCGAAAAATGGTGGTTTTACTGGGGCCCGCACGGCCAGTGAGGACGGGCCGTTCAAGTATCAAGTATCAAGTAAGTACATTGTGGTTGTATTTCATTTAATACTTTGCCGTCAAAGCAATAATAAGGAGTAAATAGAAAGCTAAACACTGTGATTTTGACTACAGCCTCAGCTAAACTGGAAAACCTATTTGTGGTCCCAGACCATTCACACTGACGGGTGACTGTTATGCATGAGGGTTAAAAAAAGTCGAGAAAAAGGCAAAAGACGGGCAACGGTGGTGTAGTGCAGAACACTTAAGTTCCCAGAAAAAGTAATCGCCAGTTCTAATCTGGCCTGAGATCCAAGTTCAGCAAACATCTCATCATCATTGTGGTTGCATCTCACATAATACCCCGCCGCGAAAAAACTAATAGGCAGGGAATAAAAAGTTAAACCATGCACAGCGTTTGCATCAAAATGGGAAGCAAGTATATGAAAAACTATCACGAAGCATTTTAAACATAACGATGTAAAAATGGGTAAAAATAGAGACGAGGCTCTATGTCGTCGAACTTCTTTCTCTCTTTCTTTCTTTGTAGCAGAGTCGTTATAGATCTACTTCCTGTAAGGTGTTGGTCAGCTAACAGACCATTTCCTATCCTCAGATGGTGACTAAGTGGCTTAGGCTTAGGCTTAGCCCGAGTTTCGACGATCCGGAAACTTTTCGAGAATTTCGCGCTTTTGTGCTTTTCGATTTTCAGCGTTTTTGTGCATTTTTTTGCGGTTTTGGCGATTTTCCGACTCGCGGCGAGAAAACTCGTCCGCGCTTCAGCAACTGCAGGCAACTAATTGACAGGCGGCTGGAAAGAGCGTCGGCGCGTTGAAAATCATGTTTTCCGCGGTTGCATCGGACAACTCGTCCGCCCTTCTGCAACCCCTAGCACCAACACCGGTCGGCTAACAAACCGTTTGCTATCCTCAGATGGAGAGAATCAAATGCGATCATATCGTCCTTGTGCCACACACTGAGTAAGAGAGTGCAGTGCTGTATCTGGCGCCTTAAGACTGCAGTTTTTCTATTGTGTGAACAACAGATGTTCATATCTGCCTTCAGAGATTTTTTTCATGTAGGCACACTGCACCTTGCACATGCAACTTTAATCAAGTGAATAGGAAGTAGGTCGAGTACGGTTTAGAATCACCAACTACAAAAAAAAATTCCCAGATCTACTCTGAGACAGCCCTAAGTACGTGTATACTGATCTCCACTAGCAGAGTTCAACATGTTATGTGTAAGTCTTAGCAAAGTCATCGAAAATAAAGCCATTTATGAAAAGAGTGTAACTGATAGAATAGAATGTGCTAATTGCTATCAACTCGACGAGGAGATAGTTCCTTTTTCGTAATTTCTCGACTTTTGTGGTATATCACAATTCTTTTGTGGCCTATCTAGTCGTCGAGAAGCTCGTTCAGTTTTAAAGGATCCCTTCATTGCCAATCCGCAAACTACTGTTACTTTTCTACACACTTCAGGTGAGCGTAGTGCTTGACGCGCAGTATTTAGTTACAGAGTTGTTGTGCCATTTTTGGATTATTTGAGGTTTGGAATATTCTTATTAGTCTAACCAATCTCGAACATAATATTCTAGAAAAGTAGATTTTAACAAGAATCGAACACTATCATTCATCATCTATTATAATGTGAAATAAAGCCACAAACATGCTGAGACATAAACAAAACTGAGAATCTCAGTTGAGTCTCGAACCTGTGATTACTCTTAACATCGCTTGACGTGCAATCCACTATGTCAACCGAGGTCATTGCTTTGCCTTTCTCTTAACCATTTTTTTACTCTAGCGGTGTTATTAGCAAACACTTGTCAAAGGGAATGATCTGGAAAGCCCAGATCGCTGAAGTCCAAAATCAGAGCTTAATGGATTCACTGCCGATTTGTGTTCACCAGATCACTCCCGTCAACGGGTTATTACTGTCCGCTCAGACGGTGAAAACGTGACTGACAGGAAGGTAAATCAAAGCGCTTGATTGGTGTGCTGGATAGTACGCGATCATCTGATAAGGGTTATCGAGAGTTCGAAGCAATTTTTAGGTTCAGTATTTTGCTTATATCTTAGCATCCAATCCATGCAGTTGTATGTCATGTCTTGCCTTTTTATGAAAAAAGAATAGACAATAAATGGAAGCTAAAACATCATCCTTTAAGATTGGGATTATTGTACAGACTTTTTAACGCGGATGTTAGTCTTCTGTCGTGTAAATGATGATTGCATAGCTATGCAAACTCATACGGAATAATAAAAAATCTCCTAATGACAGCGGAAGAAACAGGAAAAAAACGAAAAAGAGAAACAGCAAAAAGAAGGAAAAATCTACAGTCGTCAGCAAGTGATCGCTTGGGTAAATAGATAATAATCACATTGGTTAAGAACTATTAAATTCCAATATATTTTAAATTTTAAGCGCTCGAACAGGATTAATTACTACTTGCATAAAATTTAAATTTTGCAAAATTCGGCTGTCTTGCTATCACCACTTGCCGATGAGATTCATAAAAATAACAAGACACGTAGAAGCACAGTAGAATCTATCGAGCAGCCTATTTGAATGATAGAATCCCCTAAGTACTTCCTAAGTAAGTCCTCCGAATTTTTTTCTTGAAAATTCACTTTATTATTTCGTTTTCTTGTGATTCCAGAGCACACTTCTGTACGGAATCAAGTCACAATAGGACTGTTCACTGACCATATGGATGAAGTAGAGCACAGTCGCCGGTGAAATCCATTCACGTGCATGAATTCCTCCATCGATCCAAATACCTTTCTTCGGCCCTACCAGACGTTTGTTGGTAATCTGAAATTTCAGTAAAGGCCAGTAGTCAGAAATTCCAAAAGAAAAAACATTTTACGTTGGCTAAGCCCTCAAGGATGACCTTATTCGTAGCATTGATTGAATTCATATAAAGGGCCTATACAAAATAACCTGAATATATAAAATAAGCATTTTTATTCTCCTAGACAAGTTCGGTACCCATTTTCCGATTTGTCGATCTCAAAGGAATGGAGAGCTTTGTTTGCTCGAAGCGCGGTATAGAACCATTGACCATGTGTGTATTACATAGCAGCTTTAGCCGCTGCACTACATAAGCCTCCGAAGTAGATGGTAACTAAAAAAATCATACCACTTTGGAACATATCCAGAGTTCACTTTGAAGCACTCTAACAACTGTGTTTATGGAATGCTTTGTTAACTTCAGCTCAAGAAAATGTATAGAAGGTGTTGACGCCATTTGACAATGATTTGAAACGGGCCACGTTCATTTAAATCTCCAGTGTCGAAATAATTTTGCGAAGCACAGCGTAGATTCGCTTTTGATTTTGGCAAGAGTTGGTGACAAGAAACCCAATAACTCAGGTAAACTGAACGCCCACCAAAAATAGGTTAGCAGTACTAAGAAGCTTTTTAAACCTGGAAAGTGTGAGATTGAGATTGCGACTACCCTTACCAAGATGTACTGGTGGAAACCTTATCCTGCTCCTTATCCTCGAATCTCTAAACTGAAGGCAACGGATTAGAACCCCTATGATCCATTAAAACAGTCGTGTTCTGGTGTTCACAATAGTGTTGACTAACAGTTTGGATTTTGGAACTCTCTCCAATTAATTTTAAAATTTTCTACAACTTTTGATTTCTAAATTTAAAAATTTAAAGAATGAGGCATCCAGCGTTGATCAGTTTATGAGGAATGCGCTTTGCACTCCAATACATCGAGCATCATAAAGATGATCGAATGCATATTTGGCTTCTACAATGACTTGTGATGCATCAGGTTAGTGCCTTTGTCCTCCCAGAGAAGTCCGGTCCTAATCTGTAGACCTCAGAGGGATGAAATGTTTGCTGAAACCTGCACATGGAAACGAACAAGAGTGTAATGACAGACAACGCAAATCACTGCACCACTCCCTCCTCGTCCTCCATTATTAAGCCTGAGTATTAAATGCATGATGTCTAAGCAAAATAGAAAATGTACACAATATGTAAGAATATCTGATAGGAATATGGATTAAATGTCTTAATCTGGTAGTTTTCAGCTCTACACACTCCCACTGATTTCATTTGCGAGCCAATCCATGGATAAATGACAAAACCATAAGATGCAGTGTGTGGTACGTGTCTACGTATGCCATAAAGTAAAAAAAGAGCTCTTCCTTTCAAATGAATCAACAGGTAAACAAAAATTCACCCGGAGGCTAGGAAGTGATATCTTCTTGGTCTTTCGATTATAAAGGATAAAGGTATAAAGCGTTTGGCGTTGAACCATCTTTTAGGAACGCTTATTTGGGCGGCACAATGAGTCGCGCAAGCCTACCGATGTGGAAAGTGCTTTTTTACCATTCAAAACTAGCCTGGCTTCAATTTTCCGAACTCGGACGGGTGGAGGCCCTGGTTTGGCCGATGCTCAGAACCGAATCAACGGTCATATGTGTTCACACTGCATCATTACGCACTCCATCCCGGTCATTTGGTTAAAAGCACCTTACTTTTGTACATAATAATTCCTCTTCATGAAAACCCCCTCCCAGCACTCTAATCAAAAAAATTTTCACATGTATTTAACCTCATTATTCCTTATTCATCAAAATATGCTCCCATTCTTTAAAAAATAACCCGCGAAACAGTCATCGTCTATGACTGACGATATCAAAAGAAAGCAGAGAAGCATCGCATTGCTTGGATGACACACTTACCTTGATCAGTGGAATTTGTCGACCCTCGTGTGTGGTTCCGATCGGCTCTACGGAGACCTTTTCGGGATAGGTAAGCGCTAATGCATTCAAGTAGTTGATCACGTCAGCAAATGAATGATATTGTGCCAAAGCGAAATGTATCTAAATCTTTAACGGTGTGACGATTAAAGAAGAACAGGAAAAAATAGGAAGAAGACATGTCATAGATTTTTACCCAACTAACACATTGAAATTGAACAGCCAATGGACTTAATCCGCTGATGTCGAGATTTATCCCACGCATTGGTTTTTTCCTTTACTTTGCAATCGCTCCACAGGTTTCTAGGCGTGCGTGGGTCGGAAGAAGCTCTATTGCCCTCTTAGAAATAAATAAAAAACCCTTCCAGAACAAGTTGCTTGACTCGTCACCCGACTTCTAATTAATATTTTAATACCAATCGTATTGATGAATTATAGCTATTGTATAGAATGGGAAAAATCGAAGAATACAAAAGTGGACTCAGCATCACCTGTATCACTTGTATCACCTGTAGTCCGTCGACCTTCGAGTGACTCGAGCGGGCGCCAGTAAATCTTCCATTTTTTTCCCTATTGCATGCAAGAGTAGCCCAGTGGGTTCTGCTAGCTCAACGAACTCGTCGAGCATCATAACTTTCTTCTAGGCTCTTCGTAAAAAACTCTGACCATCGAGTCGGTGGTCTTCCTGCAGTACGTTTGACAATTCGAGGAATCCAGTAACTAACGGCTCTTGCCCATCGGTTGTCATTCTTACGCATTACGCGTCTGGCCTACCTACGACTGTTTGGCGTAGAGAACGGATTCTTTGATTTTTCATCGTTGACGCAGATCGGAGCTTCGGATCCCATCTCTTACTTGTGTGAAACGGGATACTCCTAGCATCGTTCTTTGCACTGCGCGTTTAATAACGCTGAGTGATCTTTCATCCTGCTTACGCAAGGACCAGGTTTCTGACGCATACGTTAGAGCAGGAAGTACCGTTGAATCGAAAAGGTGGGCACGGAGTCGGGTGTTCCTTGTTCTCTTCATTACATCTTCGATACTCTTCACAGCTCCAAAGCCGCTCGATTCCTTCTGCTCAGCTCTGGAGCTAAGTCGTTCAACGTGTTGATTTCCGACCTAGATAGACATAACTGGAGCATTCGGAGACATTCGTTCCATCGAGCGTGAACGGGGCATGCAAAACCAGTCCGTTCTTAACGAACATCGTTTTTGTGAGGTTTAGTCAAAGATCAATTTTTCCACAGGCTTTATCAAAATCGTCAAGCATACGTTCCGCTTGGCAAATGTTTGATGTTAGAAGAACGATGTCATCAACAAAGCGAAGATGGTGTAACTGCCGACCGTCGATTTTCACTCCCACGTTGTGCCATTCCAGTGTTCGCATAACATTCTGGAGGATGGTGGTAAATAATATTGGCGAGATGGTATCGTCTTGCCTAACCCCTCTTCTGATATCGATGTTAATATCGTTGTGGAATGGTGATATCTTGGTAGCGAAATTTTTGTACAGTTCACGAAAAATCTTCATGTACTGAGTAGGGTCTCGCTGACTATCAAGGGCTTCCATTACTGCTTCTATCTCAGTTGAGTCAAAGGCCTTCTGTAGATCGATGAGGGTGAGACAGAGCAGTCTTTTGTACTCTCGCAATGCCTCAGTGAGTCTTGTTATCGTGTGGATGTGGTCCATCGTACTAAATCCTTTTCGAAACCATGCTTGTTCACATGGCTGTCCTTCGTCTAGTGTTCTGTCAATTCTGTTTAGGATGACTCGAGTGAAAAGTTTGTAGACGACAGGCAGTAAGCAGATTGGGCGATAGTTGCCGATACCGTGTAGGTCACCCCTCTTGAACAATAACACGGCCATGCTGGTCTTCCACTGAGTCCACCTTGCACTCAAACAGGTAAGGTGTGAAGAGTCGAGCCAGTGTGTTTACGAGGACTGGCGGAAGGTTTTCCAGGTGTTTTGGTGTTATTCTGTCAGGACCTGGAGTTTTCCAATTTTTCACTGACGAAACGGCATATCGGATTTCGGAAGGGAGAACCGGTAGCATAACATATCCATCTACTTTATTTCATATAACGGTAGGTGGACGTAACTATCGAAGCCATCTGAGTAGTCTTCGAAAATGATTTTCTCCATTGCTTTCTGGACGCTGTGACTGCTCCGTCTGGGCGCTGAAGTGCTATCATTTTGGTCTTGTAATTGGCCAAGCTTCAGTGGGCTTTGCGAATGCTTTTCCCAGCTTCTTCAGCTTTGACCATTATTGCTGTTCTTCTCTCTTTAAGATCTTCTTTTATCGCCTGTCTGCATTATTTTGCAAGTTCAGACGTTAAATCGAGTGGCCTGCAGCTCTTGCGATTCCACGCTGGCGTATCAGCTTGAGCGTTTCTGGAGACAAACGTCTCTTGGTGACTTTCGAACTCTTGGCTTTCATAGCGCTAATGTGAAGATGTTGAATGAGCCGATCGCATTCCTCGTCTATGTTATCGACAACGGCATCTTCCCAACAGCCGACTAATGAATTGAATAGGTCCCAGTTATTGTGATCTTGGGACTTCTTTTTTGAATTTAGCGCCTTTTTTAAAATTTCCGCTAGGAATAAAATCTTGCACGAAAGAGGCGATAGTCTGATCCTGCGTAGAATTTTGGGACAACAGCGACATCGGTTAGGCGAAACCTTCTATTTACTATGATGTTGTCTATTTCTTTATGGAACTCTCCATTGGGAGGCTCCCACTTCCAGCGCTGAGGGTGGGGCTTCTGGAATTGTGAGTCACCATGGATGGTTTTTGTCGAAATGATAAACTCAGACAGCCGCTCACCCTATTCGTTCCATTCTAATCTATGGGTGCCAATGTGACGTTCTTTTTGGACCAATCTTGGCGTTAAAATCCCCAGTGACAACCTTGAAGAATGTATGATCTTCTGCGTAGAACTTTTCCAAGCCCATCTAAAAGGCTTCAACTTCTTGTTCGTCATATTTTAATGTCGGCGCGTAAACCACGAAGATTGTCAAAGCCGGTATTGATCCACATCTTTTTAATCGTAAACGTCCGTGTCGGATTGTTAGTTGTTCGAATAAATTTATGTTCATGACAAACTAGTGATGACGAAGACGCCGACATCGCCGACTCCTCTACTGTAGCATGTTCCGAGGAACAGTTCTTCTCCGGTGTCATAGACGGCGTTGAAAAGATGGCGTCTTCTCGTATCGGCCAGGATGATGACGTCGTACCTTATCCTTCTTGATTGCGCGAGTAACTCTTCTATCGAGGACTGGGATGCAAGTGTACGTGCATTGTTGGTACAGATCATCACCATAGTTCTTTTAGATCCGGGCAGCTTTCATTGGCCCTGAGATTTTAGCAGGTTCTCCGTACTCGTCCGACCCAACGCTACGAAATTGGGGGCTCTTTCGGAGTCAGGGGAATGAGACCCGTTTTTTTTTTACTGCGCTCAGCATTTTGATACCCACGTATAGCTCGCTGAGCTCTTAATGTGGGGGTTGGTTACACTGACGAAAAGCCTGCCGGGCTCTCCCAGAGTGAACATGGAGCTTCTTTGTTGAAGGCGAATCCTAACCGCTTCCCATCTACTTCCTTTCATTCGATTGCAGGCTTTTGGCCCAGTTGGCTCGTAGAATGCAATCGGCATCTAGAACGCATCCACATACGCATGCATAAATAGGCCTCGTAAATGCAGAAAGTATGTGCCAAATCGGCGCCGCATAAAGAGGAAGTCCATCCCCTGGAACCACTTGCCTCTCAGGGAAGCAAAGGTCGCTTTTGGACCGCGCTTAACCTCGAAACCACCACCTAGGGACGCTCCACGTGGCGCCGCGACTAACCGGCTCGATATCCCTCATATGAGAGACTCAACGTAAGCTGGAAAACACTTCCAAATGCTAAACGTAATTTACTTGTATGACCAAGAATAAAAAAAGGATAAAGCTCTCGGTGTTGATCAATCACTGACCGGTGCCCCACACATTCAACTCCATTTAGCGTCGTTTGGAGGTGATCGAATGTATATCTGGCCTTTACAATGACTCGCGATGGCTTACCGATGTATCGAGCCAGTGCTGTTACCTTCCTAGACAAGTCTGGTACCAGTTTCCCGACCCTGGAGGGATGGAAGTCTTGGTGGGCCATGGGCGCAGAGATCGATTCCACGTGTATGTTGCCGGGCGCCTTCGACCACTGCGCCACATGCACCCTATTGATGAAACATAATAGTGACATATAGTAAAGAGTAACATACATGCCAACCATGCGACACAGAGATAGAAGAAAGTTTCTTTACAACGACGCAATGTTCTAAACACCTTAAACCTTCCGGTTACGGAAATATTTCCGTTTAATGTTGAGAAACCTAAAGATCGTTAACGATAGGAGACTAGCTGTTGGCCCATGTGCCTACCACACAAAATTAACGTTTAGCATTATTGGGTTAAATACGTGGAGATATAATTCGAACACTCAATACTCCGATTACACCACTTCATCGAACGACAATGCTGTTTTTAAGAGATAGAAAAGAAACCGAAGTGTGCTCCTCTATTAAATTAATACATAATGGTCATGTGGAAAAACTAGTGATTCATTAACCAAACCGATAGCAGTTCCAAATTGATCATCGCTATTTCTGCACTAAAAAATAATTGGGTGGGAAGAAAACGATGAATAACATTCTTTATAGAGAACATTCTTCACGAATATTGGAATGTTTTCTATGTAGAACAATTATAACCTTATGCCTTCTACAACACCTATCTATTCGTAATCGTCATACATCTATCCTTGCACATTCGGTAAATCATCTCTTAACAACCGTTTCATGCAATTGCCTCGCAGGTGGCTGGAAAGGGAATCAGCAGCAGCCAGCTGAATGCACTTTTCAGCATCTGTCGCTCCAAAAAAGTTTCCGAACAGACACCTGCACCATTCCACATGCAACCCCTCTCTGGACGCCGCCTTCAGTTCCCTCTAGCAAAGCTCCACCCACTTCAGATGTGATACAGGCAGCCCATAGGACTGGTCCTGAAATCTTAGCCGCGTTCGAATGGTCTGCTTCCGGTCCCTCAATTCCTTAGTGCTCCAACACCAGTGTCCGCGTTAATTCCTTCAAGTGTATCACTTGTTATCATTTCAATTCCGCCTTTATCCACCCAGCTTACATATCGCCGAATATCACTTGTTACCATCTCAATTCCATCTTTATCCACTCAGCTTACATATCGCCGAATATCACTTGTTACCATCTCAATTCCATCTTTATCCACCCAGCTTACATATCGCCAAATATCACATAGTATTGTATTACCTATATCATCGTTGCATTAATTACACAGTTGTGCCGTTATCCCAATCTCTTCAGTCACGAGCAACCTGAACATCAGTGATCAGGTTACGCCTACTCACAGCCCGTATCATTGTTGTATTAATTGTATAGTTGTATTGTTATGCCATAATTGTAGTATAATTATGATAAACAGTTTAATTACCCAAGTTTGAGGTTTTGTGACTGCTACTTACAAGAAGTCCCGCGTGGCATACACAAAGGCGAGCAGCAAACTCCGACCGAATCATCTTAACTACTTGGTATTCCTATATAATCTAGCCGTCCCACCACATTCTTCTGGAAGGCCGAAGTGTGTGGATTCAAGCAGCTTAATCGAGCACGTCTTGGAATAATTTAAAAAATTTGCATCAAAATTAAATGACGAAAGGCTAATTCACGTCTCTTTATAGAATTTTTTTTATTTCATATGATCCGTCTTCACTTTCACTGAGCGGATCCCAGCACTTCTCTCATTAGACTCATTTCCTCACATTCATTATCCAC